AAATAGATCTTTCCACTTTGTTTCAGAATTGCTGTCTTAATTTGTTTGGGCTGTTTCATATTTATTGTTGTTTTATATGATTAATGTACTCTTCCATATTCACCTTTTGTTCTTTATTAATTGTGTTTATTTATTCATTACTCCTTTTTTTTTTTTTTTTTTTTAATTTATTTAATTATTGCAACATTTGCAAGTGGATGGCCTATTACTAATTTAAAATGATATAAGGGAGAATTTTAGACCAAAAACCCCATGTGATTAGAAAGGAGAGAGAAATGACTATTAAAAAGTGGGTTGGGCAAGGGCAAACTTGTAACTTTGAGTATTTATCATAACAACATAAATTCTTAAGACTTGTACTCCTCCCGGTCCTTTTTGTTCTCCCCATTTGGAATCTTGACACTATTTATAAGTTGAGAGAATTTTCTAAATTACTCTCAATGTATACAACATAACATAGTCATAAAGTGTCTTATTTGATTTGTTTCAATGAGTACTGTATTTGTATTCAACATATGTGTCTTTATTAAAGTAATATGCAACTATAGATATTTTTTTTACCAAAGTGGTGCATTGGTAAACGTGCATAATCATAATGTGAGATTAGAGGTAGTATATATTTTTAAGTAAACTTTTTGGATATCTTGTATTAATTGTAAAAGTGAGCCCCCTAAAATAGGTGCATTTACAAAAATAACTCATGTAGAATGTTACTTATGATTATTTTCTTGCCAAATGGAGCACAAACAGTATGCATCTTTTCTTAATTGTCTACTTGTCTCATTGAACTTTGAAGAGATTTTGGTTACAATTCATGTGCTTAAGTTTGTTGTTGCTCTTCTATCTAGGTAACTAAAGCTGGTTTTGGGAGGGGAGGGTGAATAGTATTAAAATTGCTATGTGACTTTAGCTTTGAAAGGAGTGAGAAGAGAATTAATTGGATTAGGGAGACATAGGCCTTGATTTCTTGATTATTGTTATTTTCTTGATTAATGTTATAGAGAAGCCAAATTGTAAGTAGAAAAAAAAAAGAGGAAATTACTTGGAAATTTTTTGGCCCTCCCCAATTTGTGTCCTGTCAAATGTTTATCCTGCACTTGCTAATGGCAGGCTATGTTTTCTAACTGTTTAAAAGGGTAGAGTTGATAGTGGAATTGCCTTTCTTTCTTTGTTTAAGCCATATTTCAATCAAGTTCTATTGAATAAATTAATTTTTGTTTGGTTGCTCATCTACCATGGGCTATCAAATTTTCATGGTAAATAAACTCTTTACAAAACATAGGAGCTTGGGAAGTTGCTTTCAGGGAGAGAAGGGGAGGGAACTTCATGGCATGCCAGTATATCACAATTACTCCTTTTTCTACGAGTTTTTAAATGAATGATTATATCATTGAGGGTAACATTGTTATTTCTGCCACTGTTAAAGAAACTGTCTTGTAAACCATAGTAAAATAATTTTGGGAAGTCATGTAGTTTTGGTCATTTGTAGATTTATTTTTCGTGGATTCATGACTACCATGCAGAATAATGTTAGTTTAGGAACCAAATGAGGCCTCTAGTTCATCCAATTCCATTTGGAATGAAATGTGGACTACAATTTTGTTTCATATTGTTGGTGAAGACTACATCTATTGTTCTTCTTGTGTTGTCTTATATATTGGGTTAAGATTTCATGGATATTGGTTATAGATTACAAAAAAGTTTCATTTGTGCCCTCAAAGTTAATTTCAGTTTTACCAAAAATGGGATTTTAAAATCTAAACATTTTAAGAGGTTAGGGAAAGAGGATCTTTCTAAGAATTCCAGTGGAATACTTTGGAGGCATAGTTTTGAGGGGATAATACCATCCTATTCTTGGTATTATGACTTTGCATCTGTCTTCCTTTGTCCATTTAGTACATGTGCTGATTATTCTTGCAGATGTTGCCTTTAGATTTTTCCTTGTGATATGTAAACACAAGAACATTGAGTCACGTTTTAATGTCCCAGTTGTTGGGCATGTTTATGACTTTGTTTGCTTTATTTGGAGAATGTGGATAGGAGTTGAAGTTGTAGACTTATCTGGTCACCTCACTATGTAATGATGTCTGGTGAATAGTAAATTGAGATAATCATACTAATCTTATGTTAATGAGAGGAGTATGTTGAAGAGTAAAGTTGGTTTAAAAGTTTACCCCTGTCTAAGGTTCTACTATATTTATGCTATTTTACATTAATTTTTACTTCTCACAAGTCTTTTTCACATATAAAAAGTTACTGAGTATTCAGCAAACACTTTTATGAATTCTTCAGTTTGCTGACTATTATTCAAATCTTCAGTTTGTCAGCTTTAATAGAATTTATTTTTTCTTACCATAAAAAATGCTGTTTGTTAATGCTATCTATCAAATGTCGGACAAGGACCTCCTTTACTGGTGAGTGTATTGTTGGTTTCTGTTTTCCTTGATTTTGTGGCTGAACTTTTAGAGATTGCTCATTTTGTACTCAAATCAGATGATGCATGCATGTTTAGATCTTGAGTAAGTTGCTTGTGTAAGGTCTTTTAATCTATTGACTTATTCCCTTCATAAAGTTTATTTTATATGTTACGATGCATACAGAGAGATGTTTTCAGTAGCAGTTGTGTTGCTAGCTAGATGTATGGATCTTTAGTTTAATATACCTATTTGTTGGTTTTCCAAAAAGATTTCAAAGTTGTTTAACACAGTAGTTTTTTTTGCTCTCTCATTCAATGTTAAAAAGGAAAAATGTTTGCTCTCAATCACATATGAAATCACGTATAAAGTATGATTTTGCTCTTATGTGGCAGGTGTTCATCCAAGCAGTAGGATTAGGCAAGTCCCTCTGGCAGGCAGAACTATTACTGAGCTTCCTTCAGAAAGAACTGACCAACATTCTCTAAGTAGGGACTCTGCTCAAAATTACATCAGTAGAGAAACTGCTCAACGTTATAACAGTGTCGAAGCTCGTGTGCTTCCTTCAAGTAGGGAAACTACTGATCCACTTAATGGTAGATTATCTTCTGAGCATCTTATTAGCCGAGAGACTGCGCATTGTTCTATCAGTACAAACACCCAGAAGTTTCCTACAGCAAGCAAAGGTTCTGAGCAAGCTCCTGCTAGACAATCTACTGGGCTCAATCCAGTTTCTGCCATTGCCATTGAAAATGAAGATGCTCTCATGTTTGATTATATGGAGCACCCATTTATATTAAGTGGAGAGAAGGAATTACCTTTCATATATTTGGCAAGTCTGTCAGCAAAATGGGCTGCTGTGCAGGGTAACCAGCCTTCTGTCCGAGGGAAGATCAAGGTATATGCTTCTGTTTTATCATCTCCACATGCGTGTGAATGTTTCTATAGGCTCTTCAAATGCATAATTGACAATGGATGTATCATATTACTAAGAGCCTACAATGTAAAATTGTTGAGGCTGAGGTTTGGTCGATACTTAGCTTCATTCTTATACAAGTTTTTTGATCCTCTGATATGTTCTTATATCTAGATAAAATTCTATTTATGTGTGACTTCGACCATGCACTATTTTGGCACATGTTATTAATTATGATCTCTAATATTAAATTTTGCAGTGCATTTTGACTGGTGTGAATAGATTTCGGTACAAGGGGCGATCTACGTTTGAGCTTCAGGTTTATGTTGAAGATGGGAGCCTTATATCTGAAATCTTTATTCACCATAATGTGAGTTGAGTTGTTGGCTCGCTTCTGTTATGCACTTATATGTGAATTTTGGGACACACTGAATTGTAGTATCGTTGTCTTTTATCAGGTTGTGCAGAAAGCTATAGGTTATTCACCTGAAGAGGTGAATGCTGCTCTTTCCTCCTCAAATGAGAAAGTAGTTGGAGGCCTGAAGAACAAATTGAATCAATTTCAACTATTTTTAATGAATTTTGAGGCAAGCTCTTTTAGAATTCTCTTTTCCTCTTAAATCTTGCATTTCCGTGGTGGTTTTGAGGATGTTTAATCTTAGTTGTTTTCCCTGGAATGAGATGATTGTCATATCTTGGCTTCCCATTTCCCCGGCCCCCTTCCACCCCCTTTCTTTCTTCCTTTAGCAGATATCTCAAAAGAAGAAAGAGCAATTGTTACCTCATATTTTCTCTTTTCAGGGTACGATGCTTGTGGAGATGAATGATAATTCTACGTTCCCGATTGCTCTTGAGATGAACCAAGATTGTCCTGCGTCAGATGCATTGTTACTTTTGAAAAGACTGAAGCCTGTCTCTTCTGGCCCAATGTTCCAAAATAGCCAGTTAGATGTGATCAATTTGTCGCCTTGAGCCGACAAATGCTCCAAAATTCTTAGATATGTGAATAGGTGAATCAATAAGAGTGTCCCGTCAAAAAAAAAAAAAAAAGAAAAAAAAAAGAAGAATCAATAAGTGTATCTTGGTATGGATGGGTCACATTGAGGCATAATTTCAAGTTGCTTGCCTTTTAAGGTTGGGAAGGTGTTTTGGCAATATTTGTTCCCTGTTATGATTGGGAGTTGAGACTGCCTTTTGCAAGTATGATGCTGAACAATGACATTATCTGAAAGGCAGAAGTTAGCTTTGCAGTATCTACTTTCTATTCTACAGTAATCCACTTTTGGAGCATGGCGGAATTTGATTTGGTCAATTTTGGTGGATGAAAGGTTTTCTCTTCTGTTTGGTAATATACTGAAGTCCAAAGGTCTCAGCATCGTTGTCTCCTTCAAGATAGCATGTTCACAACCAAGCAATCTCCACTTTTGGAGATCTATAGAGGTACATGTACATTTAAACTCATATTCCACATCCATTTGCGAGAATTCTTCCTAGTACGAGTTATATAACCTATTAGCTGTTTAATTCCCGTTGAAAGATTATAAAGTTGTTTGCTGACAAGAAATGCTATCATGCATTGTCACACATTCCAAAGATTGGTATAGCAAAGCTCCCCAATTTGGGTATGATGACTTTCCCCTTAAAAAAATGGTTTTGATGAATCAAACCCCCCCCCCCCCCCGGGTAAAATGTATGATGATTTTGCATACTTGCTGGGCTAGTATCATCAAAGTCTTTAGATAAGTTCGTATCAGCATTGTTGCAGTTACTAGGAAATATTTGTGGGATTGGACTATGGGGGGGCTATGCGGATCTATAAACCAAGGTGAATTACTCTTGGTGGTATGCAGATCTATAAACCAAGTGGAATCCATATGCCATGGCGAAGTACATTTGGTTGTATGAGCAACCAAATTCAGTCAGCTAGAGTTAGATGCAGTTATTTGCTGTTAAGATTTTTTTATTATATCTTGGAGATATGGACTGCTAGACTAGGGAAATGGTATTCCATGGCTAATGTATAGTGTTTGTCTTAGAACATATGTATTGGTAATTTTGCCAAGGGAGCCGTTAATTTCTCAAGTCTCAACAGTGCATTAGTGCATTCCTACATAAGATTTGGTGTTAATTCTACATATGCAATTGTCACATCTGGTGACAACTATGGACTTTGATTATTGGATTGAAGGTGGATACATGACTTCTTGAATTCCAGTAAGATCCAGGATTTTCTTGCTAGGCGCTTCTGTTGGCGGTCTTTCAGGTCCAGCCACTAACAACATGCGGTTGCTCCACTCTAGTACTTCGGGTAGAAATACCTTCCATAGGATTGTTACCCTCATCCATGATGGTACTGTCAAATATCTGTCACCACGGCAAGCATTATCTACAATATCCTTTGCACATCTCTCCGCTGATGTTACCGGGACTGCACTAATTTCTACCTGGCATAAAGTATGATAAAGCAGCAGATGACTCAATTCAGTAATTGTGCTGTAAACATATGATGTTAACACTTTGAAAAGATTGGTTTATATGCAGTTTTGTGGAGAACTCTCTGCTACCTATGATGTAAACATCATGTGTTTCCACTTTTTGTTTACACTTTGAAAAGGTTGGTTATATTAGAGAATTTCACCAACTGCATAATAGAAATTTAATTATTATCTACACCATATTCATCAGCTCTCAAGACTGTCTTACTGCACTTTTTGTTAGATGAAATTGTGATTACTTTTCAGAAGTTCTTATTAGACATCCATCAGTTGATTGAGTTAAATGTAGGCTGTTTAATCAAATTTCTTAGTGTGAAGTATAAATTTTGTTTACTAAGAATTTAGTAGGCCGTCATAAATTTCACAGTATTTTTTTTAATGAGCTTGATTAGTTGTTGTGGTATCTCTAGTTTACATTCTATGTTTTATTAAATATTTTATTAACACCACGTGTCTCTGTATATATTTTGCAGGCAACATGAATCAAAGAATTTATTGCATAGAAGGTACGTCTTATGCTCTATATGATGGACGTCATGGTATATGCTTGTAATTGAACATAGTATCATTATCTTATTTTTGAAAAGATACGTGGCACACTTACATCTCTCATATCTTGATCAAGTACCATTTTGCCTTCCTTTGAGAGGATCTTTCCTTTGGTCAATTCTGATTCAATCAGCCCAGGAGTTACAATTGTAATCCCTATGTCTCCTCCAAGCTCAACTCTCAATGTCTCGAAGAAGCTTATTACTGCAGCTTTACTTGCCTGTAAGGGCCATAGGTGAACAAGTGAGATGAAATAATGAAGCAACAAAGAATCGGTATTATCAAGTATGATGAGATGTTCACAGAGTAGAAAGCCATTCGTGGTACAGTCAACCATGCGCCAGACGAGGCAGTAACTATTATCTTGCCTCTGCTTGTTTTTAGATGTGGAATTGCAAAGTGGGTACTATACACTGAACCCCAGAAGTTTGTTTCCTGAAAAGCTCTCCAGGATGGTTAGTCATTAATAAGCTGTGTCGGCTTAATTCAAGGGTTAAACCAGTACGCAGAAGCTGAAAAGTGTTAATAAATAAGATTTACCATCACAGGTGCAGCATTGGTTATGTCAGGGAATTCCTCTAACATGCTCATTGTGGAAATTCCAGCATTGTTCACCAAATGGTCCACTATTGCAGGGTGCGTGAATGCAAGACAAATTGTTAATTACAAATTGTTCAACTGTTTGTTTGCTATGATTCCCTCCCCCGCCCTGCCATAATGGCTTTGTATAGAACTACTTTTTGGTATATATTATGAAATGATTGAAGATTCATCAATAGACTTTTCCATGTTTCGATTGTATCATAATATTGTGGTGTAATGTGGATGCTCAACTTAAAGCCCAGGGGAGCTGGGAGAGGTATCCTGATCAATTGGGGAGTAAATAATATTGTGGTTTAAGTATTATTTTTTGCATTTAGTGTTTGAATGTAGGATGATATCTGTTCTGTACTAATTATTTTGGTTATGATACTGTTGTGTAGCATACATGTAAAAAATCTTGTAGTTATATTTCTGATGCACTAATTCATTCTGTGGTAAATTCAATATATGTTATGCATATACCCATATACTCAATGCAAAGCCTCAAGCATAAACTTTACTTACATCTACCAAAATGATTCACTGTTTCATTGATGAAATGCTTAGAATCTTCAACTTTGCTAACATCTGCACAGATGACAAGAACATCAGGTGCACCGAGATAACGGCTGACTTCAGCAACATTTAGGAGACGTTGCCACCGTCTTGCTACAAGGGCTAATCTGGCTCCTCTCCTTGCATACTCATATGTAAGATGCTTTGAGGATCAAAACAAGTCAAATATCATCTGTGAGAGAATGAAGTGGTAGTGGCAACGAATACAAAGTATTTCCATTACAATACTACAGATCAACTTTACTTTGCCCAAAAAAAAATAGTATTGGGATAACAATGCCATTGATAGAATAACATGAAAATTTATTCTTATTTATATACCGTCTAGAATTACATGAACATTAGCATTGTCCAAAAGATCCGTTTGATATTTTATAGTGGTAGAGGTAATGATTTTTTTTAGCAAGTTATGGGAGAAAATTCATGGCAATATACAGGTTAGTTTTTTTTTTTTTTTTTTTTTTTTTTTTTTTTTTTTTTTTTTTTTTTTTTTTTGAAACAAATACAGGTTAGTGCTTCTATCTCCTCATATGCCTCATTTTCTTCACAAATTTTCGTTACCATCCATTATCATTTTATATGTGGTATTGTGCGGTAATGAAAATTTATGCACGAAACCACATGTTTGGAGATTGATTTCCATTGACATGGTGATGAACATAAGAAATCATAACAAAATTACATACAACTCCATTATCATTTCCATGATTTATGACATCACAAATATGGCGTTGGTTTTTGCTATTTGTGATTTACCATATTATTGTGCCTAGATGCAAGTAGATTTTGTTTTATACTTCATCTTACTTTAAAAGATTGTTTTATTGAAATTTTCACGATCTTCAATACAGTCATGTAAAATGAATCTCTCATGCTATATGCTTAAATATTTGACATTTTAATTATAACAACAATTATGTTTTTCTACTATTCACACACTATTCATTGACTATGCATAGTAATGGAAAGGTAAAGAAAAATATAATTAAGTGGAGTCTTATTAAATTTATCTCCATATATACTTTCACAATATTAATTTTTTGTATACCTCATATAGTTTTTACCTAACAGATAAATTTTTAATTTGGAAAATGCCCAACTCTAACTGTTATAATAATAAAATACTCCTTCCGTCTCATAATACAATGCCTCTTTTTCTTTTTAGGTAAACCAAAATACAATACCTTTTTCTATTTAAAGGTTGCACTTTTTGGCATTATGTATTACTTTTTTTTTTTTTATGAGTTATCTTCTTTTTCTTATTTTTTTACTTTTAACATCAATTTCCAACACTAATTATTCTCAACTACCTTTACTTTCTCTCTATCTCTCTCTAACCCCACATGCATATATGTACTTCTAATCATTAGTTTTAAGGATTTACAACTTTCTTAATTCTTAGCGTAAAAACCCAAATAGACATTATATTATGAGACGGAGGGAGTAATAAATATTGCTTATAAATAGTGCTAAAGTCAACATGTTGCATGTATAAACGAGAGGAACTATGGTGACAACAAACATGGACACAAGATAGACAAACCTCGCCGATACCAGAGGATGCTCCGGTAATGAGCACAACTTTTCCGGACACATTTTCGCTAAAGATGGAATTCAGACTTGAGAGAAAGAACCTCAAACACAAGAAAGGTGGAAGAATAAAGATTAAAGTTATGAAAGCTATGGATGAAGTAGCAACGTCTAGAATCTGATTTACCAGATTGTTCATTGCTATTTTTCTTGTCCTGTGTGTAAGTGAAAGAAAGGGATCAAAGGCGGGTGTGATTATTTGATTTACTATACTAACTTTGGTATGAAAGGTGTAAACTCACTCCAATTTCCAATATGTTGTGATGTGGCAACAATTTAGACCACCTTTACAAAATATTAGCCACGTTTGTGGTTTGTGGCGTTGTTTTGTGAGATTGGATTCATTGTGAACCTAATCTAATTTATTGTAGCAAATCTAGTAACTTATACCAATAACTTATATGATTATATCGATAAAGTCATTGCTTACTGAACAATTTTGTAGCTTAAGATCGGCAATATAGTGACTTCTATCAAAATTATATTGACTTTTTTCATTGATACACTTTCAACTTTTTGCCTTCTCACTAGTACACTCGTGGCTTAGTTTTTTTCCCAACCGTGACTTAACTAGTAAATTAAATTAACTAATTAAGGAAAAGACTACTTTACCCTTTTTAAACATCTAATATCTTGATTTGCATGACGAAAAGTGTTCGGTTAAGGTTTTTGAGGTCATTTTAGCCCTTAAGAGTCCAAATTAATCTCAAAATTAGCAAAAAAATAACGCAAGCGTCTCGTATGTGCGTCAAAAAATGTCTCGGTTTACGTATCGGTATTTTTTTTGCGTGTTAATAATTGCTCAGTTAAGGTTTTAGGAGTCTTTTTGGTCCTTTATGGGTCTAAACCAAGCTCGCAATTGGCCAAAAAATAACAGAAATGCCTCGTTTTATGTGTCATGAAATATTTCGTTTTCCGTGCTAGTAAAGAATATTGCTCGGACATTTAATTTGTTTGCTTTGCCCTCAATTTGGATTCTTAAGGGCCAAAATGACCGTTGAACTTTGGCTGAACAATTTTTTCAGAGCAAAATAGTAGCACGTAAATCGATACATTATTAATAGGTAAAACATGGCATTTTTCGTTCTTTTTTTTTTTTGCCAATTTTGAGCTCGATTTAGGCCCATAAAAGGCCAAAATGACTCCTAAAACCTTAACTGAACCATTACACTACTAGAAAACAGTCAATCAACGACGGAAAAAATCCGTCGGAAAACCCTGATTTCCGACGGAATTCCGTCGGAAAGCGTTGTCGACCTTTTGTAGGAATTTCGCGATATTCCGTCGGAAATTCTGTCGGAAGAGACCTTTCCGACGGAATTTTTTTCTGTCGGCGCTTTTGTTGACTTTTAGTGAAAATCCGTCGCAAGGTTCCGACGAAAATTTCCGTCGGTGGGGGAGATGTTCCGACGGAATTTTCCATCGGTGGGGGTATATTCCGACGGAAAATTCCGTCGGAATATTAAATAAAAAAAAACCAGCCCGCCATTAACCCACATCACCAGCCCACAGCCCTGCTTACCACCCCAACCAACCCCCACCACCAACCCACACCACCAGCCCACACCCCTCTGCTCACCACCCTAACCAACCCCAACCACCAACCCACACCACCAGCCCACCCCTACCCACGCATATCACTGCCCCCTACCCACCCCAACCAACCCCCTCCACCAACCCATAAACACACATACCACAATAAATAAACCACCTACCACCACCGTAAACCACCCAGATCCACCTCGTAAACCACCTACCGCCACCAGCCACCACAAAAAAAACCCACAAAATTCACCCAAAAAAAAAAACCAAGCAAAAATAAATCAACAAAAATGTACTCAAATTAAACAACGAAATCAAAAAACCACACAATCGAAATTAACCCACAATAATAAATAAATAAATAAAACAAAGCAAATTATTAGAAACAAAACGAAGACATACCTCATTTCCACCTCCAAAACCTTGAATTTGGGATTATATGGTTAAATTCGACCACAAAAACTCCAGATCTGGAATTTTTATGGTCGAATTTGACCATAAACACCATAATTGTTGACGACCACCAGCCCACAATTAACGAAAATGAAGGCAAACAAAAAAGAAAACGAAAAAGAAAACGAAAATTAAATGAATGAAACGAAAAAAACGAAAAAGGGAAAGAGGATGAAGGAGAACGAAAAAAAAAAACGAAAAAGGGAAAGAGGACGAAGGAGAACGAAAAAAAAAAACGAAAAAGGAAAAGAGTAAAGAGGAAGAAGGAGACAGAGAATGAAGGAGAAAGAGGATGAACGAAGAACAAAGAAGGAGAACAGAGAAGAGAATGAAGGAGGAGAGGAAGAGAAGAGGAAAGAGAAAGAGGAAAGAGGCGGAAAGAGGAGAGAGAAAAGAGAAATGAGAGGGGAGGGGAAGTTAGGGTTCCGGGTTTTAATTGGTTTTTTTCTTTCTTTTTTTTTTAATTAGTAAATCCGTCGGAAAAGCTTAAAATTCCGTCGGAAATTTCCAGCTTCCGACGGAAATTTTTAATTGACAGCTTCCGACGGAAATTTCCGTCGGAAACAATTTTCCGAGGGAATTTTCTGTCGGAAGCAGTAAATTCCGAGGGAAAAAAAATCCGTCGGAATATTTCTGAGGGATTTTCCGTTGGAACTAATATTTTTCGGCGGAATTTTCCGTCAGATCCAATTTCTGTCGGAAAATTCAAATTTTCCAAGGGAATTTCAGTCCGTCGTAACGATTCCGTCGGAAATTGGCCCTTTTCTAATAGTGTTATTAGCACGCAAAATATACTGACACGCAAACCGAAACATTTCTTGACACGCATATGAGACATTTGCATTATTTTTTTTTTTTTTGCTAATTTCAAGGTCATTTTGGACCCAAAAGGGTTAAAAATAACCCCAAAAACCTTAATCGAACAATTTTCGACACACATATTAAGACATTAGATGTTTAAAATGGGTATTATATATAGTTTTTTCCTTCATTAATTAACTTAATTTGCTAGTTATTAATGGTGTTAGTCACAGTTGGAAAAAAATTAAACCACAGGTGTACCAGTGAAAAAACAAAAAGTTAAGAATATATCAATGAAAAAAGTCCATACCAGAGGTGCACCAATAATAATTTCCCAAAATTTTATAACTTGTAAGTTGTAATGACGTTTCAATTGCTTATATATCTTAACAATTTAGTAACCTACATCAGCAATTTAATAGCTTACACCAACTAATATCGATTTTTTTTATTGCTTATGTCAACAATTCGTAGCTTAAATTGGCAATTTAATGACTTATCTCAACAATATTATACCATTCATATATGGCAAAATTGTCAAAAAGTAGTTTGTTTTTACTTGATTTTGTATGGTAGCTTATGAAAGGATTAACGAATGTGCTAACTAATTTAACAATAATGAAGAGGGGAAAACAAGTAATAAACGAGACAAGGAGAATTTACCGTGGAAAATCCAAGAACCGGGAGAAAAAAACCACTAATCCACTATAGAGTAATACTTTGATGAAGAACAATGTAGATTACAAGCTTTCAATTCACCATGAAAACTCCCACCTCAAACTCACCCTCTCAAACACTCAAACCCTAAGGCCTTGCTTGGATTGGGGGTAATATATTAAGGGGGTAATAAAAGTCAAACTTGAAAAAACATAAGCAATTAGAGGTGTTGTTGAAGGAGGCATGGTGTTTACAAATGAAATAAAGTAATTGCGCCATGAGGAAAAGAGAGAGATGGAAGACCCTCATAATGAGGGTAATAGTTACCCATCCTCCCTCTAGTGTAACTATTGTTTAGGGTAAAAATACCCCTAAGACACGTGGCCCAATAAAGGCTTGCCACGTGTAAAGTTTGCAACGGTCAGCAAAGGCTCAATCCCATTGCAACATGTGCCATTGTACCCTAATTGAGGTACAGCTTTCCCCTACTATAAATAGTAAGGGCAGACCTCATTTATAGGGATCGAATCATTTTCAAAACACCAACCAAACACAAATCCCCTTGCAAACGCTCTCAAATCGAGAAGCATTTATTGTCTTATTTCCTCATTAAGAAAGATACTAACTTAATCTTCGGAGGCGGAACACCCCAGCCCCAGCCGGAGTTTTCCGTTACTTGTGCAGGTACAGGCAAAGGAAGGAGCATACTAGGAAATTGTAACTCTCCCGTAGGACACATAAAAAACCCCCAAACAACTATTACCCCCAAAATGAGGGTATTAGTTTCTCTTTCTTCACCTCATACCACACCATTACTACATAATTTTCCTTACAATCACACCATCACTATCTCCTCATTTCCTATTTTCACTTTCATTTTGCTTAGTTTGACTTTTATTACCCTAATAATACATCTCTCCCAATCCAAGCATGCCTAAGTATTTTGGGTTTTACATTATGGTTTTTTCTCTCTACATTTTTCCCTTCATCCTATCTACTCTAACAATGACAAAACATGAGTATATATAGTGCAAGGCAAAATTAAACAATCCTACGGTCCTAAATAAGCCACGTCACTTAAGTCGCAAAACCGTAGAAACAGGGGCACGCAAGAGGTTCGACCGAACCTACCCCCTGTTCGACTGAACCAAGGGAGGTTCGGTCGAACCGACCAAATGTTCGGTCGAACAAGGCAATCAGTAACAACAGCTCTATTTCTTCAAATGGTTCGATCGAACTTTTCAAAAGTTCGGCCAAACTCCCGCACTACGCAAACATATCTTCTTAAAATGGCCATAACTTCCTCGAATCTTGACCAAATCGAGCTTATGACCAATAGTTGGAAAGCTCTTGAGATGAGCTATCACCTCCAACTTGAATTATCTCAATATCATTTCTAGATCTTGAAATATGCTCATTTGAAGTCAGCCCTTGCCCTTCATTGTTGCTTTGCACCAAACAATCAATCCACAGCTTAACTCTAAAGCTGTGCACCCCCTTGCCTTCTTGAATCATTCTCCACACTTCTCAAGCCCAACAAGCTAGTACCTTATATATTCCTCAACTAGTAACTTCAATTAAAATATCATGCAAAACACCACCTTAAGCCTACTTTTTGGCCAAAAAGTCGCATTCCCGGCGGAGAAGAACAAGAATAGCTAGTACTTTATATATGAGCTTATGGTACATAATATAATTTCCTAGAGTAATAACTTGCATTAGTAGGACATCCAATGAACCACGTAATATAAACTAGCCCAATACATAATATATATTTTCTACTATGTAATAAAAGGTATAATTATTGCAAGTCCATGATGAAAGAACTAACAATTTTATGTTTTTGGCTATCTAGCTAGACGATTAAGACACAACAAACATTACAAGAGCAACATATTACTTGGTTTTGACTCCGGGTGAGTAGACCGAAGATGGATAAACCATAGCCCTTAACCCAGGGAGATCCAATATCATCTTGCTTAATGAATTAAAGGATGAATCACCAATCTTGATAAGATAGAACGCGGAGAAAAACCAGTCCAGGAGCTCCGGAGTAAATGCTTTCCACCAGCTGAATACCTTATACCATGTTGGTTCCGTCACATATCTATCACCCCTACATGCACTGTTTATTATGGCCTTCGCGCACCTTTGTCCCGTGATTATTGGTAATGCACTTACTTGCACCTATGATTGATTAATCACAAGGTTATTGACATAAGAAAAAGTTTACTAAGTATTATTTCCCAGTAAAATTTTTTTGTTAACATGTTAAGGGGATTTAAGGAAAATTTCCTTTATTCTAAATGATTAAATCAATAGTTGGAATTGATTACTACTGATAATAACAAATTAGAAATAAGATCAATAAAATCTTACATCTCTCAAGTTCACATCCACATTCATCAAACCTTCGGGTGCAAGGTGCTTCCCTTTTGTCATTTCAGACTCTACAAATCCAGGAGTTGCTATAGTTATTTGAATATCTGACCCGAGCTCTACCCTTAATGTCTCATAGAAGGCTATCATTGCTGCTTTGCTTGCCTGAAATAGGCAAATACATGTATATAAATATATAACCTGCTATATCATTACTCAAAACTTATAACCAAGTAATTTTTGACGTAGATAATTCATACATTGTAAATACTCATTCGTGGGGTTGGTAACCTAGCAGCCGAGGAAGACATGACAATGATCTTTCCCTCAGTTTTTCTAAGGTGTGGAATCGCAAAATGAGTTACATATACAGCACCCCAAAAATTGATATCCTGCAAATAGTGAAAATATATACTAGTTATATTAAAATAGCTAGCCATATATCGGAGAGAACTAAATGACTAATGTCATACTCCGTATATTTCAAATTAACACGGTAAAAAGAAAAATGGATGTCGTACTAAAAGAAAGAACCTACCATGATGGATGTTGGGATAATGATGTCTTCATAATCTTCGATCATGCTAATTGATGTAATGCCAGCATTATTCACCAGATGGTCCACTTCAATTTACCAAATCAACATATCATCAACACAATAAATTGAAATCTTAGGCCATCTTTTCTTTAGAAAAAAGATTACAATGAACTTCTATAACAATAGATAATGAAAAAAGGTTAAGGTAATACTTCCTCCGTTTCAAATTAGATGACAAGGTTTCTTTTATCACGCAAAAGTTCAATCGAAAATATCTTCAATTATATTATTGTAAAAAAAATACTAAAAATTGAATTTTAATTAGGATTTTTTGACAATTACCACCTACAATTGTTGATGTTTTAGGAACTACCACATACAATTCTTTATTTTTTTTTTAAATTTTACCACCTACTATTTTTTAAAACATCAAAACTTCCCACATACTTGGCTCTGAACTGAAGCGTGATGTCATGTGGGGCCCACTAATTACCTTCTCACCCTATTTCCCTCATTTTCTTTCTTTCTCTCTCAATTTCTCATTTCCCTACCTCTCAAAATTGGGGAAAAACTTCAAATTAAATTACATATTCATGTTAATTATTTCATGATTTGAAATTTTTTCCCAATTTTGAGAGGAGTTAAAAATATAGGGGAATGAGAAATTGAGAGAGAAAGAAAGAAAGGGAGGGCAAAAGGGTGGGGAGGTAGTTAGTAGGCCCCACATGACGTCACATTTGAGTTAGAGAGCCAAGTAAATGGGAAGTTTTGATGTTTTAAAAAATAGTAGGTGGTAAAACTCAAAAAAAAAAAAAAAAGAACTTTAGGTGGTAATTGCTAAAAGCACCAATTGTAGGTGGTAATTGTCAAAAAAATCCTTTTAATTAAGTACACATTGAAATGAATCTAACAAGATTTCACATGACTATTTTTTATACCTATAAATTACAAATGTTAGTCAAAGCAAAGTTAGTGAATAGTATCAAAAGTTAAAACATGTCATGAAATGTGGAACAAAGGAAGTAATACATATGTCAGGTAGGAATAATAGTCCTACATACATTGAAGGAGATCGAGGTAGCATAACTTTATAAGTTTGGTGTGTACTACTCCAAATTGTTACCAATTGTTTTTAGGATGTAAACATGTAGGGCTTGTGTATGATCAGATTGTCCATGGGTGTAGCCTTGGTTTTTTTTTTTTTTTTGAATAGTAAAATTAATCCATTAATAAAAAGTCATACGACACATACAACGATAATCGAATTTAACAAATACATAATAATACATAATTTGAATCAAATAAAAATTTCTTCCATAAAAACTACGATCGTTAAGCAGATCTTGTAATGTGGAACATTTCGCGCTTATATCGCTGGAAAATACAGCCTTGTTGGAGAGACAATCTAACGTTTTCTTGTAGTGAGAATGATTTCCATCGGATTTATCTAACCGTATCCAAAAAATTGAAAACCTTTGTGACCCCGCATAATTTTTCACCAACGAAACAATTCCATGGCAATTCATCAGATCTATTATCCCAGATTTTAAGCAAAAGAAATTCCCCCTTAAAAAGAGGAGAAAAACCTTGTCTTTTGAAGGAGATCGAAAAACCTTGTCTTTCGAAGGAGATCGAAAAACCTTTCTTTTGAGGGAGAAATCATTATTATAAACCAAAAAAACAAACAAAAAAGTGTAAAGAAACAAAGGTTGGGATTTTCCATCAGTAAAACCGATAGAAGCCCCTTCAAAAATCAAGAATGGAGGCTAGGTTTTTTTTAGAGAGAATAGAGGAGAGAGGAGAGGGGGTGTAGCCTTGGTTTAGTTCAATAAATATTTATCCAAATATGTATCTATCGAGTTCCTATATTAGAGCCACCCTTTGACAACCAGGCCTATTGAGAATATATATTATTGCCTCGATCTGGTGACTAGGAGTGTAAGATATATATAAAGCATTAAAAGCTAGTGCAACTTACCCCTTCCGAAGTGTGATATGGTGGAATCAACAATTCGTTTGCAATCATCAACAATTGAAACATCGGCAGTAACTGTGATGGAATCTGGTGAACCAAGCTCAAGGCACATATAAGCCACATCTCGGAGGCTTTGTTCCCTTCTCGCTGCTAGCACTAGGCATGCTCCTCTTCTTGCATATTCATATGCCAATTGCTGCTCATACCATGTAAATTAAATGTTAAATGGCAACAATAACTCACCCAAAAAAATATTTAAAGATAAATTAACCAATTGAAATGATAACGATTAAATGATGAATCCAAATTTTGTGGTTGTTTTTTTCTTTTTCTTTTCTTTTTTTTTTCCAAATCTGATCACAATATGATTAAGGTTTTTTATTTGTTGGGTATGACCCAAATTTTATAAGCCCATTATATTAATGGAGTGTAATCTAGAAGCTTCCGGAAAAATCAAGAGAAGATTACACTTGATTTTTCTAGAGTTATCTACAACCTTAATATCTCCTAGAATATTCTAGAGAATATTAAAAGTAGAAACCTCTAGATTAAGAGCCATTATTATGGAGAAATTCCCATAAAATCTAGAAGCCTCCATCCTCACCTATAAATATGGGTCAAGGGCATAACAATAACAACAACAAGAACACAACACAAGAAGCCATACCAAACACAAGCCTTTCTACAAAATATTCTCCCTCCTTGTAATATTCCACTACTATCATAATACTCCTTTGTGAGTTTCTTATAGTGAGAGTTCTCTTGTAATAATCACCCTCAAGGGTTCTTGTACTCTCCTACTTTCAAATAGTGGAATAAAAGTGCTCGTTGTTGTATAAAATCGTGTGTTCATTTATATTAATTATCTTGCCAATTATCAATTTAGTTTATATTTCTCAATCAAACACATCTTCGCTTCCGCTGTGCACTCACCAACCCTAACAAGTGGTATCCGAGCCAAAGGTTGATTAGAGTGTTTACACATTAAAGATGTCTTCGATCACGAAGTTCGAGATTGAGAAATTTGACGGCAAGATTAATTTCAGTATCTTGAAAGTCCAGATGAAAGCCATTCTAGTACAGAGCGGATTAAAGAAGGCTTTGGATGGAAAAGCTAAAAAACCAGAGTCAATGACAGACGAGCAATGGCAAGAGTTGGACGAAAAAGCCCTCTCGGCAATCCAACTATGTTTAACCAAGGAGGTACTGCGCGAGGTTGTCCATGAAGACACAGCAGCCGGCCTATGGCTGAAGTTAGAGTCACTATATATGACTAAAAGCCTCGCTAACAAGCTTCGACTTAAAGAAAGGCTTTATACAATTCGAATGGCCGAAGGTACTTCCATTCAAACTCATCTCGATGAATTTAATTCAATTATAATTGATCTTGAAAATTTAGATGTTAAAATCGAAGATGAGGATAAGGCCGTGTTATTAATTGTCTCCCTACCACCTTCGTATAAACACTTCAAGGAAATTATGCTTTATGGCAATAGTGATACTCTTTCTTTTGAGGATGTTAAATCTCACTTACTCTCAAAAGAAAAATTTGACCTTGAAGTTCATTCTAATGAAAATGCCGAAGGTTTAAATATAAAAGGGAGATCACACGGTAGTAAAAGTACCAATAAGAAGTCCAAATTTAATGTACACAAATCCGGAAAATCTTGCAAGTTTTGCAAGAAACTTGGGCACACAGTTGAAGAATGTTGGTTTGCAAATAAAAAGCTCGAAAAGAAAGAGCATGAGGAAAAGCCGAAAGAGACGGTAGAAGCCGGTTTTGGAGAAATAGAGTCCGATGATGAAGTTCTCTTAGCTACTTCACCAAGAAGAAATAAGAATTCTGAATGGGTACTTGATTCGGGTTCTGCCAACCATATTTGTTCTCAAAAGTCTCACTTTACCGACTATCAACCGGTGAAGAATAAAACTGTTACAATGGGTAACGATTATCATTGCAAAGTTCGTGGTGTTGGCTCCGTACGGATCAAGACGCAAGACGGTGTGATCAGGACTTTGTCTACTGTTCATCATGTTCCTGATCTGAAAAAGAATATCATTTCTCTTGGCATTCTGGACTCAAAAGGATATAAGATTTCGGCTCAAGGTGGAGCACTCAAAGTCTCCAAAGGTGCTCAAGAAATATTGAAGTCCATCAGACATAGAATTCTCTATGTATTACAAGGATCTTCTATTATGGCTTCGTCATACTCAATCCGGACTCGGCAACAACACTCACATAATACGGGTCCAAGTAACATACGACGAGCGCACAGATAAAATTTGGTCCAAGGTGGAGATTGTTGGGTATGGCCCAAATTTTATAAGCTCATTATATTAATGGAGTATAATCTAGAAGCTTCCTAAAAATTCAAGAGAAGATTACACTTGATTTTTCTAGAGTTATCTACAACCTAAATATCTCCTAGAATATTCTAGAGAATATTAAAAGTAGAAGCCTCTAGATTAAGAGCCATAATTATGGAGAAATTCCCATAAAATCTAGAAGCCTCCATCCTCACCTATAAATATGGGTCAAGGGCATAACAATAACAACAACAAGAACACAACACAAGAAGCCATACCAAACACAAGCCTTTCTACAAAATATTCTCCCTCCTTGTAATATTCCACTACTATCATAATACTCCTTTGTGAGTTTCTTATAGTGAGAGTTCTCTTGTAATAATCACCCTCAAGGGTTCTTGTACTTTCCTACTTTCAAATAGTGGAATAAAAGTGTTCGTTGTTGTATTAAATCGTGTGTTCATTTATATTAATTATCTTGCCAATTATCAATTTAGTTTATATTTCTCAATCAAACACATCTTCGCTTCCGCTGTGTACTCACCAACCCTAACATTATTTTATTTTTTTTCCTTAAAAAAAAAACTAAGCGCAAACCAAATTATACGATATACACCTTTTGACAGAATTTAAAAGTCTCACACTCTTACATAAAAGTACCAGGCCATAATGATCTTGCAAAATAGCTTATTTTTGCTGTCGCAAGATTTACCAGGCCATATTGACATGAAACAAGGAAAGGAGGAATTTAGTGAATTATGTATCCTTTTTTACACGTGTAATGCTCCCCATTCCTAAATTAATTGTCACACCAAAAATTGCAATTATGTAATTCGTAACAAGCTCGCTGGTTAGATATATCGAATTCTTAACATAAAGCTCGTTCCAACTAAAGACATTTTTCTTAAAAGGTTCTAACTATCAATTACCTCATGATGATACCAACTTTGAATGGATCCTTCTTTAAACAACCCATAGCTTATTATGGCCATGTACACCTGTTAAGATTGTCATGTGTTGAACATTTAAATTAATGATTTGTTTAATTGAATATTAATATTTTAAGGTGAAGAGAATGGACCCTAAATCAAAAGGGTGGGTATTAACTGGTAGTGAATTATTATTATTATTATTTTTAACTTATTTTTTTAACTACAACTAATGAAACAAGGCACAACACTACTACCAGTCAAACCGGTAAGAGTATGTTATATATCGTATTGAGAAGGACCTCCTAAAGTTAGGTATGTACGCTTTAAGTTAATAGGCCATAGTTGAAACCGTTGGCGTCGATATTTCCTTTTTAATATAAAAAAGTAGAAAGATAATGGAGAAATTTTAGGTTTCAGTTGAAAAAAAGGTATTGGAAAAGATGATAAAAAATTGTTATGAATAAGTTGAGACGAGAAGAGTGTTAAATACTGAGTAGTAAGTATGCACCTGGAGAAATAATTAGTTTTAGTTTCTTGTTTGATCTAAACAATGTCCACTTAAATCCATTTTAAAATTTTTCTATAATATTCAAAGAATGAAATATGTTTTATTCCAATTTCTTGGACATAAAAATTTATTATCTTACCACTTTTACCAATAATTACACCATTTTAATTACTCTTACTTTATTCACCTTTCTAACATATTCACTTGTCTAAACACCTCTCATTTCAAAGATATTTTTTTAACAATGCATCCATTCATTCACTCTCACGTTTCTTAATTTGCGTGCAAATAGTAAGTGTTAGTACTTCGTATATGGTAACTTCGTTGCACAAAACAAGTTGTACTACGGGGTAAAATGGAACGGTAAATATATGAGGGTGGCCTTGGGAGAACATTGCACTATTATTCTATATACCTACTTCACATAATTCTATGATAGGATACTCATTCTGTCCCTAGTAGTTAGCTTTAAAAACCATTGTGGGCCATCATTGCACTATTTTAGGGACGTCAATGGGTGATGCACAGCGGATGTTGGCCTTTCCATCCCCATTCCCGCCTAACATTCTCATCTCCATCCCCGCTTAACATTCTCATCCCATCCTCGCGCCTGGCCCAAAATTCATCCCCATCCTCGCGCCTGGCCCAAAATTCATCCCCATCCTTGCCTCGGCAGGTACAGCTCTAGAACTATCCTCGCCCCACCTCTCACTCGGATATCTACACCCGTCTAATCCTTGCCTCCAAATAAATTGCAATAAAAAATTTGTTAAATAAAACTTTTCATTATAAAATAGTATGAAAGTATATAAATTTTTTTTTAAAATAAATATGTACGTGGGTAAAGGGCGAATACAAAGTGGGGTGGGGTGGGGTGGGGCGGGGCGGGGTAGATGGTGGGGCGGATATAACGTAAAATTCACCCTAATCCCATCACCCGTGACGAGTATGGTTTTTATCCCATCCTCCCCACCACTTGCTAATAAACCGGGACCCATCCTCATTGAGGTCCCCAGTCACTATTTACTCATATAGTAACATATCCTCACCCAATAACCCCACTTGCATGCATTTATTTATAAAAGTAAAAAAGACAAATATAGAGTATAATCCATCCACTTGCAAATTTTTGGTCCAAACCTTAATAAAGCACATTTTTCCTTTGGGCCAAACAAACAAAGATGAAGAAAGTACTAGTTATAATAAAGTGAGATAATATGATAATTAATTCAGGAATAAATATGTACATAATTCAAATTGTAATTTAAGCGGGCAGGTTCTTAGGAGGGCTGGCTTACTAGACCCAATCTTGACCCTAACTATAATTGCAACACTAATTAAGATAATAGCATGAGTTAGAATTAAGACAAAAGTTTAAAAAAAAACGGGTGTACAATAATTACTGAATGACGGTATGTGCGAATGTTTTATATTTGTTTCCTTTTTTTTTTTTTCTATTTTTCTCTCTCCTCCTGGGTTTCCTTTCTCTTTCTTGTGTTCTTTTTTTCTCTCCTCTCTCTATTTCTCCATCTTTTGTTTTACAGTTTTGTTCTTTTTTTCGATTGAATCTTAATTTCTTACTTTATTTTGTTATTTTGTTCTTTAATTCTTCTTCTACAACCAATTTCGAGATATGTGTTCATCCATTTTTCTATTTTAATTTTTTTTTAGGATATTTTTAAAGTTATGTTCATCTAGTTTCTATTTTAATTTTACTTTTCAATTATAATGGCGAATGTTAAGGTTCCAAAGAACCAGACAATTGCTCCTCCTATTAGTTCAAACGAAAAAATTGAAGCTACATTTTTAGAATTCTGTGACCAAATTTTTTAATTTTTAACTTTTCTGTTTGTTTTTGTTGATATTTCTATGTTTTTATGTGTAGTTCTAAATAATTTTAATGTATAACTTTTGTGAAAATATGGCTCACTTTTGTAAGAATATGGGTCACTTTTGTAAGAATATGAGTTACTTTTGTGAAAATATGAGTCACTTTTGAAAAAATAAATATATAACGAATGAGATTATGGATAACTTTTGTGAAAATAGGGTCACTTCTGTATAAATATAGGTCACTTTTGTGAAAATATGAGTTACTTTTGAAAAAAAGAAAAAAACTAATATTAATGGCTCGATGTACAATAAATTAGTGTAAATTGGGGGCATGCAAAAATTTTACTAGAATTAATTACCTCACCGATACCGGAGGAAGCGCCGGTGATGATAACAACTTTTCCGGCAACATCTTCGGCGTAGATTGAGCTTAAGATAGAAACAGAGAACTTAAGAAATTGAAAAAGTGGTAAAAAGAAACAAAGGGAGAAGAATATAAACGGTGGAGCTCCTATGTTCAAGATTTCGTTTATCAAATTCATCTTTAATTACTTGTATCATATGTGCAAATTGATTATACCAAAACTTATAATGTAGAATTCTAAATGGCATTGATAATTCGTGTCAATTTTTTATCTAGTTTGGTGTCATTGTTTCATGCAACAAGAAAGACACGTGGTAGCTAGTTCAAAGTTATTTACTCGTGTAATTAATCTTTAAGACGAGAGGAGTAATCACACGTAGGAAAAATAAAATAAAAATAAAATAAAATTCTACAACCGGATGCGACGTGCATCATAGGGTATTTTCTTCAAAATTTCATAGTAGTGGTTTGAAATATGAAAAGCATAATGTTTTATTGATTATGTAGTTTATAATTGGCATATTTTTTCTCAACTAATTATTTAAATTTGGTATAAAATAGTATTATCAACATTTTTTTGATTTATCAAATTTTCATTTATGTAATTTTTATTCTTATTTTATAGTTTATCGAAAAATATTTATTTTACGTTGGATTAAAATGTTCAAAAATTATATGTGCATTGTAGATATTAGGAGACTAATTTTGTCCATTTTATAATGTGGAAAAATGAATCGATCATGTTCTTTGTCATTAAAATAATGTGATAGTCATTTTTCAAAGACTGATGTATTACTTATTTTTTTGCTCACTTTAAAATTTTAAAATGAGCAAAAAAACCACCTTAGAGTGCATTTATCTTCGGGTATATATAAAAGATGTTGCGCACATAGGGTCTATTTGTTTTTGGAAAAAAATAAAAACAAATAGGATGACATTGAGGTAAATTTGAGGGTTATATTACAAGTAATAAAAGTACTTTTATGAACAATAATGATATTATATTTACTAACGTGGCATATGATGTATCATTTAAATAACTATGATCTCGTGTCATGCATGCACAGTAATAACATGGACAAGATACAACTATAACACACTTTGTATTTATTTTCTTCTTATTTTGTGTATATTTTAAACTTAAACATGTAATGTAATGAAATAGTCGATTAAACTATAAGTATATTATAACTACATCTTAGACCATATGAGTGTTTAAAAAATTCAAAGATAAATGAGTATCATTTTCCTTTTTATTAGCCAAATAAGTATTTTAAAATTATATGTTACAACCAATGGGTATGAATAATAACCATGTTTTAAAGAAATTTGGTCAATATTTTTCCCTAACAAAATAATATAATTTAATAAGATTAAATTTTAATTAATCAAATTTTCTTACTATGTACATGATCGATTTTATATATATACATAGTTTATGGTTTATAATGTTAAACTATATTGTTATGCTCACTGGCGGAGCCAGGTGGGTACAAGGGAGGACAATTGTCCCTCCACTTCAAAAAAAAAAAAAAAAAAAAAAATAGTAAAGAGAATTATGTGCAGGATAAGGAATAAGTAAAAGAAGTTGGTTCAATGGTTAAAGGCTTATAGGGATTCTTTTTCTAGCATTTTCTTATTATTTTTATTTTCCCCTTTCCTTGCTTGTTTCTTTAATTCACAAATTCAATTAGAAGTAATACGGAGTACTATTTAATGGCATCATGTTCTAACTTCTAAATCACCTTAGTAATTTACATATTTTTCTTTTTAATTGCATAAATTACAACCCCGAATTATTGGTTGTAGTAAGGATTTCGGCAAAGGTGTTTGATTTTATTATATATCTCAATATATATTAAAGTGTCCCGGGTTTGAAAACACTGCCATTGCCCAAATTGGAATGAGAAATGGTTTATATGTTAGGATATATTATCGTTAATTAGAAATCACATTTATGAATTATTTGATAATTTTAATTTTATATGATTAAATAATTGATTCACAATTTTCTAATTAATTATTGATTGCTTTAAAAAAAATGAAGACTTGAAGGTGAAGTTGTAATTAATTTGATATTTTTTTCAATTTTTGGACTGTATAATTAAGAATTTTGGGTTTTCGGGTTGTAAAATTTATTTATAAGTATTAAGCATAATCCGTACAATTTATGTATGTTTGAAAGGTTTTGTCCATTTGTAGAATGCCACCTTTAGTCTGTCCCCCTTGGTGGAAAATCCTAGCTCCGCCATTGGTTGTACTCCCTTTGTTTTCTTATGTTTTTCGTATTTAGAAACAAATTAAAACATTAAAAAAAAAAAACCAATATTGAGTTATATGAATCCTAATTTGCACTACTCTCTTACATAGTTCATGAACAATAGATATTCACAAACATTTAATGATGTATATCTGTAATTTTTTTTAACAGCGATTTTTAGCAACAAATATATAGAATAAAAATTAAGGTTAAAATTGAAATTAATGTATATAACATAATTACTAGGGATAATGAGAGTTGAATTATCAGAGAGAGGTACGTAGACAAGAGTTCTCGCCGTTGAAAAAACATAAAGCATTTTCAATTAACGATCTTCGGTTAGAGCTCGACTAGTCATTTTAGTTTCCAAAAACTTTTGGGGTGGAAAATCGAGGGAAGAGATTATTAATTGACAGTAAGAACTTGAGTGATAAATCTCTAGATTTGGTGTTTTATGAATATTTGGAGCTCGAAATCGACGTAGGTAAGTAAAAGAAGAAATAAAACAAAAAATAGTTTTAAGATTTAAGCTTTCAAATTTCTAACTATAAGGATGTTTTTCACATGAACTATGTTTCACTATTAGTATTGAACATTTTTTGATGTTATTAGTAGGTATTATTTTAAGGTAGTCATCAGAGAATGCCTTTCAGGAAATATTTAGTGTCTTGTCAAAAAAAAAAAAAAAAAAAAAAACATTTAATGGTTTGAAAACATGATTGCATTATTCATGCTTAGTTTAAATGTCTCACAAATCTCTTTATATTATTCATCTTTCACACACAAGTACATGCATGGAAATAAATGTATGTTCATCAATGTTATCCTATCTAAAATAAGCAAGGGTGTGAAAACCAATTTATCAACCAACCAATTTCAAATTTTCCGTAAAAATTGCTTATATTAAGTTGTAACAACGTTGTTCGTGATACCCTTGTTGATATATGTTTTCGGTCTGGGATTTCTGCAAGAAAGGAGGTTAACGTTGGGTTGACTGGAGGAAACGACGGGGTTCTTCTACTAGCAGATGTGTTGCTTTATTCCTCGGACAGAGGCCTTGATGTATGTGTTGACTTGACGGGATCTTCTCCTTTGACACAATCTGGGTTGTCTGACTTCGTTCCTGATCGAGTTGTGTCGGTTGCGGCTCAGCGGAAGTGGGACAAGTATGGGACGCGTTGTAGGGATATTGGATATGGGTTTCTTCCTTTCTCCTTTTCTTCATTGGGGGAATTAGAGAAGGATGCTGTTGCGTTGCTGAAGAGGGTTCAGGCATTCGCAAGGACTCAAGATATTGGTGCTCGTGCAGCTGCTCACATCTTCAACAGGATCGAATTCGCTATAGCTAGAGGGGTGGGGGCCATATTGTATCTTGGCTCCCCACTAATTTTTTGTAAATTGATTGTAGGTTACTTATTTTTCAACAACAACAACAACAACAACAACAACAGATTGTATCTCGGCTAATTGGATATGGTTTCATTCCCTTCTCCTTTTCTTTGTTTGGGGAATTAGAGAAGGAGGTTGTTGTGTTGCTGAAACGGGTTCAGAGGTTCTCGACGACGCAAGACATTGGGGCTCGTGCTGCAGCTCATATCTTCACTAGGGTAGCCTTTGCTATAGCTAGAGGAGTGGGGGCCCAGATTATATCTTGGCTTCCCACTAATTTATTGTAGGTTGTATGACTTTGTCTATTTTTGAGATATAATAATAATAATAATAATAATAATAATAATAATAATAATAATAATAGCTTTTAATAAATGAAATCTTTATCACCAAATACTACCCATCACTTGTGGCATATAGCCAATGTGATCGATGGACTATAAATGCCCTATTCCCTTAATTTTTTTTTTTTACGGACTATTCCCTTAATTAATATAGGTGACATACCTTGTTACTTTGAAATTAAGACTTTGTTTAACTAATTATTTGATAAATCAATCAAGATTCGTTAAAATTGCTTCTTTTTTTTTTTTTTGCTTAGAACTATTTTTAAAAGTAGAGATTTGCGTGAGTTTCTTTGTTAGATGTAAAATCTAGTAGTTTTGCCGAAGAGATTTCGCAATTGAGTAGGTTTTTTTTTTAAAATTTTTTTTGAAACATCGCAACTGAGTAGTTGAGTAATAGCAATTTGCGTAACTGCTAATTTAACATAAAAAATTAGAGATTCTGCAATTGAATGGTTAGAGTAAAAATAGGGTTTGCTTTGTTGGGCGTAAAATATAATAACTTGCCGGCGAGATTCCGCAATTGAATAATATTGCAATTTGCGTAATTGCTAACGTACTAAGATTCTGTTAAATTGCAATTTGTTAACAATAGTTTTCTAATTTGTTCTTAATATCTTTCATGATTGTTTTCAATTAAGTGGCTTTCATGATTGTTGTTTTTACAGAAATGGAGTCATGTGTATTATCCTTGATAAGGAGGAAGAGAAAGAGACAAAATGAATTACTCGTAACCTTATTGATTATCATAAATAGCATGATAATGGTCATTAGAATACATCCTAGTGATGTTGCGTATAGGAGTGAATTACGTATGAATAGATAAACCTTTGGTGTACTTTGTGAGATCTTCGGGCTAAAAGGAACTTGTATTATGAGCTTACAAGAGATTGTTGCATTGTTTTTTTTACACGTTATCTCATTACAAAAAGAATAGGTCGATAGGAAATTATTCTATAAAAGTAGTGAAAATATTAGCAGACAATTCAACCTTTTTCTCCTTGCGGTTTTAAAGTTACATCATCACTTGCTCAAATATTCTACACCTATACCAGAAGATTGTGAAGATAATAGATGGAAATGTTTTAATGTAACTTGACAATATAAAAATTCAATATTTGTAATTATTTAAGAACTAATAATATTATATGTTTTAATTTATACAAACTTGTAAATTTCTATATTGTAGAATTGTTTAGAGCTCTAGATGATACATTCATTAAGATCCACGTAGCAAATGAAGCGAGAGGGAGGTATCGAACAAGAAAAGGAATTCTTGCAATGAATGTGTTAGGAGTGTGTACACCTAATATTTGTCTTGCCTGAATGGGAAGGCTCTGTCCATGATATATGGTCGTATTTTACAAGATGTAATATTAAGGCCTAATGGTTTAATGGTGCCTCAAGGTAAACCTTGTGACTAAAAATAATGAGCATGTGCGTGCAATGACTTTCCTATAACACTTATTAGTAATGGATTCATTTTATTGTATTTAAGAGAAAATGAAAGTCATCCAAAGCACATGCTTTCCATTACGCATAAAATTACTATACAAAATTTCTTTTCTCGTATAACTTTCGACATACCCAAATCTAAATATCATTATTATTTCTTTTTATTTCACCGAAAATACTAGAAAACACTTTACGTACGTTAAAAAAATATAAAGAAAATATTGTAATAAAAAAATAATGACAGTAAGACTTTCTCCGTAATCTTTCAACAACAATTTTACTTTCTTGATTTATTCTTATCGCCATCGTTGATTTTTTCCGTTTCTTTTATTTCGAAACCAATAATTTTTTTTTGGGACAATTGTCCTCCATTGTACAAACACTCAAATTATTACTCATAAGCTAGTGCCGAACACATCTAAAGATGAAAAGAATTTGTTCATTATGGTAATATTTGACTTTTTATTTTTTTTATATAAATATGTTCATGAATTAATCTTTTTGAAGGCATGTTCATGAATTAATCTACCACAACCTATTTATAATGATGTGAATATTTGCTGAAATTCAAAAAAGTTAATACTATAAAATAACACATTGATCTGAATCTCACAATGCACTATTTGATTATTTTTTTATTAATCACAAACTATGGTTAAACTAAAATTGGTGTTTGGGTCCACTCCGGTCATCATGATTGGGCCTGTCCAAATAACTCAATTAAAAGCTTAAAGCAAGGTTCAACCTTCCAAAGCATGCTAAAGTCATCAACAAAACCCCAGTCAACGAGGCAGGCCCACTTGACTTCAAGGGCCCAAGCCTCCTCATTTAAGCAAAGGTATAAAAGCCATTAATTATCTCATTTATGGACACATGCAACAAAAAGCCTCAAGCACAAAATCTCTTGCATAGCTTTCTCTCTCAATTGAACTGACTTTAGTATCGGAGGGGCCTTCCTCGGCAACCACCCCCGAGGCTAGTTTACGTGTTCTTTGCGGTGCAGGAAATCCTCGGCTCCAGTGTTCTTTGAACCGAGATCAGTCTTCTCCTTAAAAAGGGATCTGCTGAAGGCCCCATTGTTTCCATCCGGAACAATTTGGCGCCGTCTGTGGGAAGCATACAAAAAGTTAAGCCAAAAAGTTTAACCAGTCTTAGCTGAAAAATGACTAAGAGTGGCAAGAGCACCAAGAGTGCTAAGAAGAATGGTCAGGCCTCTGCGAAGAGGAATAGAGACCTGATCACGGTGAGGGAAAATCGACTGATTTCACCATCACCAAAATCAGCTTCATCTTCTTCTAAAGCTCCCAATTCTCCGGAAGGGGACACTTCGGAGGGTTCTCCATCCCACCATACTCGCCAGCCGACAAGTTCGCCTAGGCCGAGTGGGTCCAATACGAGAAGTCCTCCACTGCAAAGTCTACACTCGTGGTCTCAACCGAAAGAAACCCCTCAATTGGGGCCTTCTACGGAGGAAGTGGAAAGGGCCGTAGCAGTCTATATGGAGTTCCTCAAAGCCCAAGGGGGTCAACTCCCACTAACGCTCCCCGAGTCTTCACCTCTTCAGCCGAGACACCTAAGAAGGAGAATCGGTCAAGAGGAAAGTGGACAAGTTCCACCCTACAAGGAGCTCGGGGAGAAATGGCAAGAGGACACATGGAAAACTGAGAGGGGAAGGAAGAAGAACCTTCACTTCTTTCACCACTCCAAAACTTGTGACTCCATGAGTTTCCGAAGTAGCAACACCACCACTGAGTGCAAAGAGTCTGCTCGCCGAAGTGTCCATGAACACTTAGGCTCAAGAGAGGTAGACGTGCGCAACCGTCTCACCTTCCCCGAGGGAACCACGCCCTACCCTGAATTGTCTCGGCCAGGGACGAAAATCACTTCCACCTCTTTAAGAGGGAGAAGCGAGATCCCTTCAGCCAAGCAAAAAGGGAAAGCCGTGATGGTCCCTACAAGCTCGCCCTTCCAAAGTTGGATATTGGAAGAGCATGTGTCGATGGTAAAAATACCATCGCACATTACTTACGATGGTACCTCAGACTCGAAAGAGCACATTGCCTCTTGCGAGGGGCACATGTATCTTAATCCCAGGTCCGAGGCTACCTGGTGCAAATATTTTCTAACCACCCTCAAAGGCGTTGCACAATCGTGGATCTCCAAGGGGGTGAAAGAAGGCTCTATAATAGGTTGGAGTGACCTTGCCAACAAGTTCAAGAGCAAGTTTTCTATGGCAAATCGCCGAGAGAAAACGACTGCAGAGCTGATGAGTCTGCAGCAAGCGGAGCATGAAAGCCTCTGAGACTATCTGACTCGCTTCAGCAATGAGTCATCCAGAATTACGAGTCTGGACCAGGCCTTGCCGTATTCGCACTACGAAATGGCTTATAAGCTGGAATGTTCCTTGACTTCATGGTCATGCATCCCCCGCAGACCTTGGAGGAAGCTTTGGACGCCTCGGATAAGTTCATCCGAGCCGAAGAATGGAACAAGACAAAATCTTAGTCACAACCCAGGGTTGAGAAAGCTAAGGGACAACTGTCCGAAGGCCAGGGGCCGAGGAAAGGGAAGGAAAAAGCACTACAAGAAAAACGGGTTTGGGCGACGAACTTCATTAGTATGGGCAACGAAATATGTTGTCGTTGCACAAAAATGTTAATATGGGCTTCTAATCCAATTTCGTTGCCCAAATCTATATTTTAGGCGACGAAATACAATGCCGTAGCCCAATATGACTTTTGTGCCACGAGTATATATATATGGGCTACCAATTTTTTTTTCGTTGCCCAAATTTAATAAAACGACAAATTAATTTAATTATACAGTCGCCCAAAACTTAAAAATAAGGCGGAAATTTTAATTTTTATTTTGTAATTTCCCACGTTCACAAATTAGTATAGAGTTCTCTCGCGGTTTTTCCCAAACTAATGAACTCTTAATTCTATTCAAAAAAAAAAAATGAACTACTCTTAATTAATCAGGTATTCAACTCCCACCTCACCTCTAATTCAATCTTCTCCCTAAAACGAAACCCTCGTACTCTACCTCTAATTGCATAATCTTCTCCTCAAATCAGGTTTTTTCGGTGGCCGCTCCGATCTAGTCTGGTTCTCTCCGACGCGGCACACAATATCTTACACTACACTCGCATCTAAAGAGTATCTATTCAGGTAATTCTCATCTACAAATTCGGTTTTTTTTTTAACATTTCTGGGTGAAATTTGGTCTTTGAATTGATATAATCTGCTATGTGAGTCGATTGATTTAACATGCAAGGTAGAAATCCCATTTTATTTGTCGAATTATAGGAAATTTGAGCGTTTTTATAAAAGTCGATTGATTAATCAATGAATCATGTTAACAATGGTTTTGGTTCGTTGTTTATTCTCTTTCAATTTTGTTGCGATTATGTGTTTTTGGTTCAGATATGTTTAGTTTCTTGATAATTTTGTAGCAAATTGTATTGTTGTTTTATTTACAATTTTATTGTGATTTTCATTGAGAATTTCTTGCAATTTTAGTTGATTGATTATACTTTATATCTAGGCAATACTTAAAATGATCATTACATGTAATTTACATAATCAGATTAATATTTGCATTGATAATATTCATTCTGTTGGACATATCTTGGGATTTTTCTCATAAAGTGGGTCTAATTTAAAGTATTAAAAGAAAAGATGGATAACTTGACTACCTGCACAATCTTTTGATACTTAAAAATGGAATGAGATTGATGTAATTGAGCTGTCTTTGCCTAAATATTGAGCTGCTGCCTGTTAAGAATCTTTAAACTATATGTTAGAATATATTGGGATATATTCTGACTTTGTATATTTGTTATATATGTTAGGAGTATAATTAGCTTTAGATGTATCCCTTAATTAGAGCTAATCAGTTTGTATACTCTAGCTAATTCCTAGCTAATCAGTTTGTATACTCTGCCTAACTTCACGCTTGTAATCTTGTATATAAGCCAAGGATGCTTAATGAATTGAGGAAGGAAAGATTCCCCATAATTCTTTCACTATACAATCTCATTCCAGTTAAAACTATAACTTTGTGTCAAAAAAAAGTTATAACTATAACATAATAACCATATTAATATTTGCATTGATAATTAGGTATGTTACATCTAAAGGGTTCAAAAGATATATTTCCCTTTAATTCAAATATCTTTATACTAGGCACTAAACCAAATTTATAATATTCAATTAGAAATGTCTTAAGAAACAATTAAATTGGCACGACATCATTCCATAAGATTTAATATTAGTTAGTCTAAAGTCTAAACTTTAACAGACCAATATAAATAATGCAAGTAATAAAGTTTCAAGTTTAACTTGAAGTTCCTATTATATAAAAAATTAAAACCTCCAAATTTTTCATCACTTGTGTTGGTATGTTTGTTTTTGTGATGAATCTAATGATGTAAGATTTTCTTGTTCACACGGTTAATAGCTAAACTATCTAATGTGATCATTTTTTGTCGCTAATGTTTTTTTTTTTAATTATTGTTTGTAAGAATGAATATGGATCGAAGTTGGATGAATCATAATGGTGTAAAGGATAGACAAAAAAAGGAGTACATAGCGGGTGTTAATGAATTTCTACGGTTTGCTTTTAGGGGAATAAGTGGCGAAACAATGTTGAAATGTCCTTGTCTTAACTGTAGATTGGTTATGTCACAAACTCGTAAAAATATGCTATGTCACTTGCTAGTATATGGCATTGATCGTAGTTACAACCCATGGTTGAGTCACGGAGAAAGTGTAGAGCAAATTGATAAAAATAAAGATCAAGGGTATGTAGCAGAGGTTTCAGATAATGAGAGTGAGGATCGTCCTTTTGATGACATGGCTCCATTTGTTTTCGATGCAACAAGCGCGTGGAATTCTATAAACTCTACATCAATCAATGAAAATGAAAGAACCACATATATAGGATCAAGTAGTGGCACTAGTGAAACTCCTATGTTGCTCCAAAAATTAGTGGAGGATATGGAGGCTGACTTGTATCCAGGATGTAAAACATTTAAGAGATTGGAGTTTATTATGTCATTGTTGCACATTAAAGTTAGCAACAAGTGGAGTGATAATTCTTTCTCAATGTTATTGAATGCATTGCATAGGGCGTTTAACTATGATAACAATTTGCCTTCAAGCTCTTATGACGCAAAAAAATATACTAAAGCGCTAGGGTTAGATTATGTTAAGATTGATGCATGCGTCAACCATTGTGTTTTATTTAGAAAGGAGTTTGCAAATGAAGTTAAATGTCCTAAGTGTTCAGCACCTCGATGGAAGCAGGATATTTCTCAAGATGATGAGAATTCAGACGATGAAGATGAGGGTGTCCATAGAAAAACACGAGTACCTCAATTAGTCTTGCGCCATTTTCCACTTATTCCAAGGCTCCAAAGGATGTTCATGTGCTCCAAGCTCGCAATGCACATGCGGTGGCATAATAAAGGACATGCTGGTGATGATGACGACAGTATTATGAGACACCCAAGAGATTCAAAATCGTGGAAGTCTTTAGATGAGCTATATCCCGAATTTGCTGCAGATGCACGTAATGTACGCTTGGCTTTAGCTAGTGATGGGTTCAATCCCGGGGCGAACATGAGTAGTAGATATAGCATATGGCCTGTTATGTTAGTACCTTATAATTTACCTCCTTGGATGTGCATGAAAAGTGACAACATGATGTTGTCATTATTAATTCCCGGCCCTAAATCTCCTGGTAATGACATAGATGTTTTTTTGCAACCTTTGATAGATGAGTTGAAGGAATTATGGGAGAGTGGGGTACAAACCTTTGATGCCCATAGTAAGGAGACATTTAATATGCGAGCAGTGTTAATGTGGACAATTAGTGATTTCCCAGCATATGCCAATTTGTCTGGCTGGAGCACTAAAGGGGCGAAGGCTTGCCCTAATTGCCACAAAGACACAAATTCCGAATGGTTGAAACATGGCCACAAATGGTGTTATATGTGTCATCGTGTTTTTTTAGAACCAGATCATAAGTGGAGACTTAATAAGAGGTTCTTTAATAAGAAAGTTGAAAGGCACGCACCACCTAATCCATTATCAGGGAATGATGCTTTGGAGCAGCTACATGGATACCCTAATGTGGAATTTGGTAAAGATAATAAAGGGAAACGAAAAAGAGGGGAAAGATATATTGTTCACCACAGGGGCGGAGCTAGAAGGGGACGAGTGGGGACACTTGTCCCCCCATTTTCAAAAAAAAAAATTAAAAAAAAAAAAAATTTAAAAAAAAAAAAAAATAAAATAAAAAATAAAAATGCAATTACAGATTTACAATCCTTTGCGTTGCGACATTTTCCAGCCAGCCAAAGCCAAACCCTAAGTTTTTCAATTTTCAATTTCTCTCTCTTCGATTCGCCCTCGCCTTCGTCCGTTCGCCGGCAGTCTTCGTCTGTTCGCCGGCAGTTCGCACTTCGCAGCAGTGACGAGGTTCAACAGCCGCCCTTGAGCCTTCGTCCTTCGTGAGTTCGTGACTTCGTGTGTTCGTGACTTCGTATGTTCGTCAATCGCCTAGCCGGCTCGCCGTGACGCGTCCACCGTTCGCCGGCAGTTCGCAGCAGTGACGAGGTTCAACAGCCGTCAGCCGCCCTTCAGCCCTTGAGCCTTCGTCCTTCGTGAATCGTGACTTCGTGACAGCGACCACAGCGTGACTTCGACACTTCGTCTATTCGTCATATGCATTTCAATGGAGGTATGAATCAATGAATGTATGATTAATTGAATAATTGATTACTTGTTTTGTTGTTTAAATGTTTAATTGTTTAAATTTACAGTAAATCTGAAATTCTGAATTTCATATTTTTATTACTTGTTTAAATGTTTAATTGTTTATATTTTTATTGTGAATTTGTCATTTGTGGCCTTGTGGGTATTGATTATTGAATAATTTGAATTGATAAATGATTATTGATTTATATTTGTTTGATTGTTTCCCCTGTTAGAGTTTTTGGTTGTTTTTGTGAAATGTGAATTTAAATTTATTAATTATTGTAAATTATTGAAATGTGTAGTTGAATTAGAAATTTAAAATCTTAGCCTCTTAGGTTTTGTTATTATGTAATGATGTGGATTGTGGTCTTGTGGAAATTGATATATAATTTTCGATTTAATTAGGAAATGTCAAACGATTCACCAAATTCAAACAAATCAAAGGCAACTAAACAACCCGATCTTCGACAATTCTTGTTTAAAAGAACGAAACTCAATGAAAATGAGTCCAATGAAAATGAGTCCAATAACTCACCTTCATTTAGCTCCCCTCAAAGTCAAGAAAATAGTATGGAAATGGGTGGTTCAAGTAATAGTAATGTACCATTAGAGGAAGATTTGGTGTATGATGTTGAACTTCTTCCTCATGATCCGGGAAAAAGAATAAACATTATGGATTACCCCGCAAATGAACGAAATGCTGTTAGGAGGGGTTATATTCTTAAAAAACCTTGCCAACCAAAAACTCATGACTTCCCTACAAGACAAGTGTCTGGTTTGCGTCGCTTTAGTGTTCATTGGTTCAACAAATGGGATTGGCTTGAATATAGTATTGAAAAAGATGCTGCATTTTGTTTTGTATGTTACTTGTTCAAGAATGAAGTGGGTATTAAACCGGGGGGTGATGCATTTGTTGATGGAGGGTTTAGGGCATGGAATAAACCGGAAAGATTTGAGAAGCATGTTGGTGGAATTAAAAGTGCTCATAATCTTGCTTATGAGAAATATGTGAATTTAAGAGATGAAAAAAAGAAATCAATCTTGAATGTGATTGACAATGCAAGTGATGTGATTAAAAGTGAATATTTTATCCGCTTGAAAGCATCTTTATCTTGTTTAAGATTTCTTTTGGGGCAAGGTTTGGCATTTCGTGGACATGATGAAAGTGGGGAGTCATATAATAGGGGTAATTTCCTTGAGCTTTTGAAGTGGTTAGGAGAAAAGGTTGAGGAAGTAAGGATACATACTCTTGAAAATGCACCTAAAAATTGTCAAATGACTTCCCCTCCTATTCAAAAGGACATTATTAACTGTTGTGCCAAAGAAACAACTAGGTGCATAATAGAAGAAGTTGGTGATGATTACTTTGCTATATTGGCCGATGAGTCAAGTGATGTGTCCCAAAAAGAACAACTAGCTCTTGTTTTGCGTTTTGTTGATAGAGATAGTGGAAAGGTAATGGAGCGATTTTTAGGCATTGTTCATGTTGCTAATACTACCGCTTTAACTCTTAAAGATGCAATCATGTCTTTACTTGTTGAACATTCATTGAGCCCATCTATGATAAGAGGGCAAGGGTATGATGGAGCTAGCAACATGAAGGGTGAAATAAATGGCCTTAAGACTTTGATTATGAATGATACTCCAAGTGCCTACTATATACATTGTTTTGCTCATCAACTTCAACTAACATTAGTTGTCGTTGCTAAAAAGAATGATAGTTGTGGTTGGCTTTTCGAGATACTTGGAAATTTGTTGAATGTGGTTGGAGTTTCTTGCAAGAGAAGAGAAATGATTCGTCAAGATCAAGCTCAAGAAGTTGCTCGAGCCTTGGATGTTGGGGATATTGTGAGTGGATCGGGTTTAAATCAAGAACTTGGTTTGAGTAGGCCCGGGGATACTCGTTGGAGTTCTCATTACAAGTCACTTTTAAATGTCATCCTCTTATTTCCTACAATTATTAAGGTGCTTGTACAAATTGGGAAGCATGGTGCATCGGAAGATAAGTTCAAAGCTCAAATTGTTTTAGGACAATTAGAGTCATTTGACTTTATTTTTGTTGCTCACTTGATGTTGACTATTTTTGGATACACTAATGATTTGTGTGTTGCTTTGCAAAGAAAGGAGCAAGATATTGTAAATGCCATGGAACTTGTCACTTATACAAAAACGGTGTTGCAAAAAATGAGGGAGCGAGGATGGGATACTCTCTTAAACAAGGTAACTTCATTTTGCACTAAACATGGTGTTGTTATTCCCACTATGGATTCTCTTTATGTTCCTCATGGAAGATCAAGACGTTTTGTTGAAGAAGCAACAAATGAACATCATTTTCGGGTTGGAATTTTCTTAAGACTAATTGATTTGCATCTTCAAGAACTTGATGAACGATTTAATGAGAGGAATATGGAGTTACTATTATGTATGGCTTGTTTAAGTCCTAAAGATAACTTCTCATCCTTTGATAAAGATAAGGTACTTAAACTTGCCTCTTTTTATCCCGAAGAATTTTCAAGCTTTGATTTGATGGCTCTTGAATATCAACTTGATGTATTCATGGAGAATATGCTAAATGATGAAAGATTTCAAGGTTTAAATGACCTTAATTCTCTTTCTATGATGCTTGTTAAAACCAATAAGCATAAGACTTTTCCTCTTATTCATTTGCTTATCAAGTTGATGTTGATTCTTCCCGTTGCCACGGCAAGTGTTGAAAGAGTGTTTTCTGCAATGACATGTGTCAAAAACAAGTTGCGAAATAGCATGGGTGATCAACTTATGAATGATTGTTTGGTCACTTTTATTGAGAAGGATGTCTTCTTACAAGTTTCCGACGAAAAGATTATTGATCGATTTCAAAGTATGAAGACTCGAAGAATGAACTTGTAATTTTAATGTAATGTTTATGTAATTTTTTTCATCATTTTGAATTGTATGACTAAGTATATATTTGTATTTTGAAAATTTAATATTAAGTATTAACCAATTTGTGTGTGAGTTTTTTTTTTTTGTTAAGCTTTTCGTAAGTTAAGCATTTTGTCCCCCCAAGTTGAAAATCCTGGCTCCGCCACTGGTTCACCAGTGGAAAAAGATTAGCGTTTTTTTTCAATTGCCTTATTGGAGACATCTGTTAGTTCGACACAATTTGGATGTGATGCATGTGGAAAAAAACGTTTGTGAAAATATATTAGGCACATTGCTTGACTTACCTGGAAAGAACAAAGACTCTGTAAATGCTCGGTTGGATTTAGAAGCCATGAAAATGCACGATGATCTTCGACCGAAGAAAGTAAGGGACAAGTATCAAATACCGCGAGCCCCTTTCAACTTGACCTTACATGAAAGGAGGAAAATTGTCACATTTTTATCGAAATTAGCATTCCCCGATGGTTAATCATCTAACATTTCTCGATGTGCTTCTTTGCAAGATGGAAAAATCATAGGAATGAAAACTCATGATTTTCATGTTTTCATGCAAGATTTGCTTACCCCGACCTTTCAAGGTGTCTTAGATGAAAAAGTTTTAGAACCTTTAAGAGAGCTTAGTTTGTTTTTTAAGCAGCTTTGCGCTAAGACCTTAAAAGTAGCCGACTTGGAACGAATGGAAGCAAATATAGCAATCACATTATGTAAGCTAGAACGTATCTTTGTTCCGGCTTTCTTTGATGTGATGATTCATCTTCCCATACACTTAGCTACAGAAGCAAAATTGGCTGGACCTGTGCATTATCGCTGGATGTATCGATTTGAAAGGTAAGTTTAATTTATTGTATGTCTAAATATCTAAAAATAAAGTGAATTTTATTACACTTATTCTAGTCTTTATTATTAGAGCAATGCGGACATTTAAATCATTTGTACGGAACAAAGCGCATCCTGAAGGTTCAATTGCCGAAGGGTATATTCAGAAGGAATTACTAGTATTTTGTGCTAGATATCTCTCTAAGATTGAGACACAATTCAATCGTTTAGATCGAAATGAGGATATGAACTATCCACAACTTCATAGTCTTTCGGTGTTTTATAACACCGGCAAGACATTGGGGAAGCCAAATTTAAAGCAATTGAGTATTGAAGATTGGAGAAAAGCTCAATTGTATGTTTTGCAGAATTGTGAAGAAGCACAACCTTTTTTTGAGTAAGTATATAAAATTATAATTATATTATTATACGATTATACGGACTAAATGTTGCTAAACATTTTTTTTTTGTTCGTAGTGAGTATGAGAATGACATAGGCCATCGAGATGTTGAATTCTGCAAGTGGTTTGAGAATAGAGTAAGATAGTGCTTTATTCCTATATATATATATATATATATATATACACACATAAATACATTAAATTCTGCACATATATTCATTTTTTATTTGTATTTATATTGAAAATAATTAGATTATACAACTTGGGAAGATAAGGATGAACGAGTTACAGAAGAATTATTGTGCTTGGCACGAGGGCCAATGAAGCGTCTTGTAAATTTTGATGGATATGTTATTAATGGGTTTAGATTTCACACTAAAAAGCGTCAAAGACATCGAAAAACTCAAAATAGTGGCGTTGTTGTATTAGGGGATGCAGAGAGTGGAGGGAAGGACTTTTACGGGACTTTAGATGAAGTTATTGTTCTGGAGTATGATGCCTTAGAAAACCGAACAAGTCCTAAGGTGGTATTGTTTAGGTGTAAGTGGTTTGATGTATTCAGCGACGAAAGAGGGATTAAAAAGGATAAATTTGGGTCTACGCTTGTCAATGTTTCTCGTACATTGCAAACAAATGAACCTTTTGCATTAGCCTTTCAGATTGAACAAGTTTTCTTTATCTCTTCTCATGATGAGCGACATTGGAAATATGTAATTAAAGTTAAGCCACGTAACTTTTTTGATTTCCCTAATGATGAAGACGCTGAACAAAATGAAGATCTATGGAATATTGTGGAAGAAGGAGCAACTAACCTTGAAGAGTTCACTGCACTTAGTGATGAGGAAATCAATATGGTAAGAGATGATGTTGAACCAGAGTTGGTTGATGCAGAGGTCATCTTAGAATGTACTAATAACATTGTTGACACGGATAATGACGATGAGCAAGAAGAGGAAAGTGAAGAGGATGATGAAGACGATCTTGATACAAGCTCTAGCGTGCATGAGATAGATGAGAATCTTGAGGATATAGAATCTGACAGCGATAGTTCTACAGATTCCCCTTCTTAGTTTCTGGTAATTGATGTTTTCTAAACTAAAATGAAGTAAATGAGTCACTTAAATCATTTTTTCTACATTAATAAATATATTGTATTGGTATAATTGCAGTTACCCAACATCCGCGGAGAATGTTGCAATTTAGGCGCTACTACAATCTATAATCAAATCTTTGTTGCTCTTAGTTAGTAATTTGCAAAACTATTTTTATGCATTAGTGGTTTTCAGCTAATATGGTGACAAGTTAATCACTTGACATAAACTAGCTCTAGTCTTTGTTTTAGTCTGTTCTTTGTGTTAGTTTCTTTGTTTTGTAGCAGCTTTCTTTTTTCAATTTGTTTGCTTTTCTTGTTTTGTTCTCTCTTGTTTGGGGTCTTCCCTCCATTGCAATGCAACTGCTAATTTGTTGAGTAAGTCTTTTCATTTATATGTTTCTTTACATAGATTGGATTTGATGGAGTTTAGTTTTTCATAATTTTATGCTGCTTTTATACTTATTTGAATATCACTAATATTATGCACAAGAAATTGCTATAGGAAAATGGCAATTGAGCAAGTGCAGCGGGATGCATCACAGTTGCCTAAGACAAGGCAAGCGTCAAGTACAAGGCAACATGTGCACAATGTGCAACAACAGAATACAAAGCAGCAACAACAACAAAATGCAGAACAGCAACAAGAAACTGTCCAGCAACAACAACAGCAGATTGTGGGGCAGCAACAACAAACTGTCCAGCAGCAACAACAGCAGAATGTGCATCAGCAGCAACAACAGCAGATTGTGGGGCAGCAACAACAACCGAATCAGGAGCAGCAGCATGATGCAGAAGCATCAACTAGTGATCAGTCCAGAGAGCAAAGATTGACATACCGGGAGAAACGAAGGCTTGAACAAGCTGAACATCGACTAAAGTTTCCTGATCGTAAGAGGCGTGGGCCAACTAGGGGTAAGAAATATGTTACTAAGATGTGGAATCCTAATTCTGAAGAAAAGATTAAAATAAATTTCATGGATGAGCTTCGACGGGTGGTTGGTGAAAAGGCAGATGAATTCATATGTGATTGTAGCAATTGGGTGAAAGAATTTTGTCCCCTCAAGTCATTGTATGTGCTTTAACTTACAAGTTTTTTGAATATATGCTGCTAAAGTTAATTTTCATGACTCTAAATGTACTTTATTTATGACAGGAATTGGACTAAAATGGATTCAGGTGCAAAAGAGAGGCTGTATAAAAAGATTCGAGTAAGTTTTGGAAGTATTTGAGACCATGAAAAATGTCTGAATGTGTTTAGCATATATGGATGCATATTTATTATGATTTACGTTGGCAGGCTAAATATGATTTACCTGATAAAGTTGCTGGTGCTGATGTTACTGATGCGTTGAGCTTTCAGTGCTCCATGTTGTATAAACATTGGAGATTTAGGCTTAAAGAGAAATACTTTAGAAACAAGTCTATTGCAGATGCTATAAATAGCAGACCAGATAATATTGATGCTAACCAATGGACATGGCTAGTATGTGAGTATTGGAATGATGAAAAGCAAAAGGTAAAATTCCATTTGACTCTTTTTTTACCTGACCATTAGTTGAATTTATATTATGATAATCTGATAGTGCCTTGTTTTTTTATGGCTTGTAGCGTATTAGTAAAGTTAACACGGATAATAAGCTTAAGCAAACTGAAACTCCTGCAAATGGTGCAAGGTCTACCGCAAGAATTTTCCATGAATTGGTACGGCTTTTATATTTTTACAATGATTTATATAATAATTTGTTTAAAGTGGTGCAAATGAATAATTTCATGGTAGATTAGTTCTGCTAGCTTTTGGACTGTAACTATTATTTGAGCACTGATCACATTTCATTGTATAATTTGGCATTGCTTATCATAAATGCAGATGAATGTGCAACAAACTCAAGGTAGTCAAGAACATGAAGGATCATCAGATAATCCACTTGAAACTCAACAGGATCCTCTGTACATCACCTTATTTGAGAAAACTAAAAAGTAATCAATAGTCCCTTGGTGGTTTTTTTTAGTATTTTTTTATATAAGTTTTTTAAATTTTATAAATCATTGAATTGAGTTGTTTATTCTTGTGCTTGAATTAATATGCTAGGCATAAAGACAAGGGATTTGAACCTAATGCTGAAAAAGACTATGAAGCGCTTAGAAACCTTCATGAAAAAGAAGTGAAAGAGCATGGTGAAGATACACTAAGTGTCAAAGCAGCATACATGGAGGTTTTCAAACCAAAGTCTGGATATGTCAAGGGACTTGGTCCTGGAGCTCGTCCACCTAAGAAAAGAAGAGTTGAAGGAGAAACTAATGAAGTTAGAGTGAAATTATCAGCTGAGATTCAACAATTAAAAGAGGATGCCGCAACACGTGAGGGTGTACTTGTATCTCAGATTGAATCCCTGAAGGAATCTAATGAAGAGCTTAGAACCTCAAATGAAGAGCTTATAGCATCAAATGATGAGCTTAAAGCGACCGTATCTAGAATCAACATAGAAGCTCAGAAACGTGAAAAGAAGCTCAGAGATGATATGATGAAAATGTTTGAGCAACTTAGGTATGACACTTACTCATCTTCTATTTGAGATATATATTTTTAGTTATTATAAAAAAAATATGTTGTTGCGTGTTGTTGCTGTTATGGTTCTTGGTAGTGTCTATTAGCTTTTTATGAAGTTTATGAAGCAAGCATACTGAATAGTTGGATGGAGTATGCAGTCAAATATAATTCACTTCTATAAACATGTAAAATATAATGTCTCCAAGATCTGACTCTTTCTTGGAATTGGACCTAGTCCTTGTATACTATGTCTAGGTGTCTATCATCATCCCCATCACTCTCCTCTGTAGAGCCTGACTGTTTCTGTAGCATTGGGTTCTTTCTTACATCCTTTTTAGCATAGCACGTGTCTTATCCTTAAACCTCGAACTTTTCCTTCTTTTCTTTTGTTGCCTCTTTTCGACCTTTACAAGCCTACTATCATTAGGACATTGAGAAGCACTGCTGGTTGATTCTGCTTCATATTTTATCGTCCTTTATTTTTCCTTACCACGACTGTGTTCATCTCATTGTCCTGACTATCACCACAACTTTAACTGGAGATAAGTGCATGGAGCTATTATATGAACCTGTGAAAGAGTAGAGTTAATAGATGACTCCTCTGCTCAGCCGACTATATGTATTTTAAGTTGTCGGCTGAGTATGCAGAATCCCCTCTCGCCTTTGTGTTCCTCTATCTGCAACTTTGGTTTTGCATTACTTGTATTTTCATAGGAAGTTTTAGAAACATCAGATTTGGTAACTTACAAGCTATACTGGCGGAAGATGAAGTTATTCCCGTGTAATTTATTGCCATTTTACAATTACAGTGTAAATTCTAATCAATTAGTACTATGTATGATAATCTTATCGATCTTAGACACATGAGGCTTGTTAGTAATGTTAAACTCCATTGATTCACTTAACGTATGTTCAATAACATAAGACAACTCTTGTTCAGAAAGAAGGATAATTATTAGTTGACATAAAAAAGAGTTTTTTATAGGTCGATGTGTATTTTGCAATACGAACTATTACTTTTCTGATTGTGCTATCATATTCTTCTCCTAGAAATTGAATAAACAATTGAAGCAGGAACTTGTGACTCTCCCCTTCGATGAAGTACATATGCTATCCCCTTTCCCTTCCGAAAAATAAAGCTCTGGCAAAATTTAGCATAGTATAGTTTAGCATAACACTTTTCATTTCAGTACTTGCTTTTTTTTATTTATGTAGAAACTTGGCATAGTTTAGCATTCTTTTCCTTATCATTTGTTATTAGGGTTGCTGCTGTGGTAATTAACAAGATTAATTTGTTAATGTGCCATGTGTTTAGAGTTGGGATTGATTTGTCTGGGCGTTTGTACCAAACATCAGATTTGGTTTCTGGTCGTTGTTTGTGCAAGCTTTCTGGTGTTAGAGTACTGATAAAATACCCTTTCAGTTCAAAGATATTGTTGTGTGATGTAGGGATAAATGGTTTTAAATCTGATTTCTATTATTGGGATCTTTGGGCATATGCATATTAGCTTCTTTACCAAGCTTAATTCCGAGCCAGTCACAAAATTTATAGCTTCATCTGAATATAGACCGGTTTTAAAAACCTGATATAACTAGTCAATATCTATTGTGCGTTGGTCTGGCTCAGGTCAAAAAGCTTGACCTAGAGCCTGATAACATAACCAAACCTATAACTGATCCTGTGGCAACTTAGTAGTATACATTTTGAGTGTCGAATTCTAGATTCAGGAAAAAAGCTTGTGGATTTTTTAGGCAAGCATTGGGTGGAGGCCCGTGTTCATCATCAATGAATTTTCGTGAGGTATGCTTTATCATTTGGAATGAATTTTTCTGAGGTATGTTGAGTCTCAAATTTTGTAGGACAAAGGTATATTATTTTTTTGAAAGGAAATGTAAATTCTTCTTGCATCCCCTTTGATATATCCTCATTCGCAAGGTGAAAATAACTAGTATATATTTTTGTGAAAATGATTGCATGATTTATATACTAAAATATCGGATGCTTTCAATAATTATTTTGATGTTACTAACTTATGTTTCACTTACATAGGAATAACATGGGCTAGCAATGAATTCGAAAGATGGATGATCGCAACTATTGAAGGTGGTATATATGAGCAGCGTTGAGAAGGGGTCGATGTAATTAAGTTTGTAATTAGTGTTATTTTATTTAATTTTTAAAGGATCATGTACCTTGTTGACAAAGTGGGATTATCTTATAATTTACACATTTTCTTAATATGTTTTTATAAATTAAACTATTTCATATAATAATTATTCAAAATGTTTGGTATTTGAATTCATTTTCAGATTTATTTGTTTTTTAATAGGTTGTACTACCCATAGTAAGAAAATAATAAAAACACTCGACCCTATTAAAAAGCATATGATCGATACCGACAAATATGGACAACGAGTAACTTTGTTGCACAAAGTACTATGGGCAACGACATAACGCATATTGGGCCATTGGGGCAAAGATGGGCGTCGATTAATTTCGTTGCCCAAAATATTATGGGCAACGAAAATAATTTGTCGCCCAAAGTATCAAATATAGGGCAACGAACTTGGTCGTCGCCCAAAATATTATGGGCGACGAAATGAACAGATCATAGGCAACTAACTTGTTCGTTGCACAAAGTAACCTTTGTGCAACGAAATAAAAATTCGTCGCCCAATATGTAATGGGCTTCGACCTTAGGGCTTCGGACCCATGTCTAGACCCATTTCGTTTCCCAAGGGTTTGGGCGACGAAATACTGGTTTTGGGCTTCGAGTTTAGTGGTTGCTCAAAGTCGAATTTCTTGTAGTGAAGCTTCAGAACCTTCCACGGGGAGGTCTGAGTCTTACACTCCCCTTGCTCTTCCACGTGCTAAAATTTTCAGCACGACCAAGGATGAGGGGAGATTCAAGAAGTCGAGGCCACTTCCATCATGGCATTAGAAAAAGGGGAAGGACCAATGGTGCGAGTTCCAAAAATCCCCTGGACACCACACCGAGGACTACCTCTAGCTGAAAGACCAGATTGAGGATTTGGTCCAAAAAGGCTACTTAAAAAACTACGTCGCGGAGCGCCGCGAAGAGAAGAAAGCCGAGAGAGATTCTTGGCAGGATTTGGACTTTCTCCGGAAAAAGGACAAGCAGAATGACAGGGAAAACCTTGACATTCTCACTATTTTCGGGGGTGTTTCTCGGAATACGCTGAAACGCCGCTTGAGGGGCTTGACCCATTAAGTACATAATGCTGAGTTCCGAGCACCTTAGTCTCCGGTGCCAAACATGCTGTTCACATCCGAAGACTGTAGGGGGGTGGTGTACCCCCATGATGACCTGTTAGTGATCATGACGGGCATTGCAAACCACAATGTCTATCGAACCCTCGTGGACGGTGGCAGCGGGGCGAATATCCTCTTTCGAAGGGCGTTCGACCAGCTGAAGTTGGAGAGCAAAAACCTAACTCCAGTGCCCTTCCCGGTAGCTGGATTCAATGGCTCTTCATCATACCCAGATGAGAAGATTCTTCTTCCTGTCTCCCTAGGTCAAGACCTGGCGCAGCGGAGCATTACGACCGAGTTCTTGGTCGTTGATGTTCCTTCTGTATACAACGTGATCATGGGGAGACCCCTCATTAACGATATTCAAGGAGTCGTCTCGACGTACCATCAAGAAATGATTTACGTTTCGGATAAGGGACGCTACGAAAAAATCTTCGGCAGTCAAAAGGAGGCCCGAAGATGCAACCACCTCAAACCTTCCAAGAGTCGCTGCAGCGACAAGGATGATGAGGAGGAAAAAGAAAAAGACCGAGGAACGAAAAGGCCCAAGGGCTTAAGTCCCTCGGTTTAAGGATCCCCGGCAAAGAAGACATCTTTGGGGAAAGAGAAGGATAGTTCCTCTTCTGAGCCGAAAGACTCAGGAAGTCAGCCGAAGTCTGGGAAGCCCGCTGATATTGACAGCAGGCCTGAATCCGAAGAATCCAGTGCCAGAGTAATGGAACTGGATAATCAGACAGAATCAATATCGTTGACCGAAGGAGATGATGAAAAGTGTGTTAGCATCGGACAAGGACTAGATCTAAGCTTCCGTGTTAAATTAATCTAACTCCTTCGAGACAACAGAGACGTGTTCGCTTTCTCGGCATCAGACATGTCCGGGATCGACCTAAACCTCATCTCCCATAAGCTTAATGTCGACCCCACATGTCGACGTATTAAGCAAAAGAAGCGGAACTACTCCGCTCAAAAGAACCAAGACATCGCAGCCGAAGTAAAAAAACTTCTAGACGCAGGGTTCATCAAGCCTTGCCAATATCCGGAATGGCTGGCTAATGTGGTGATGGTTCAGAAGGCAAACGACACATGGAGAATGTGCGTTGATTTCATGGACCTAAACAGAGCTTGTACGAAGGACTTTTATCCCTTGCCGGATCTATTAATTAGTCGACTCGAGAAGCGGCCATGCCTAGCTTAGTTTCATGGACGCATTTTTTGGGTACCATCAGATCTTCATGCACCCCGATGACCGAGCGAAAACAACATTCGTCACAAGTTCCGGGGTGTACAATTACAAAATGATGCCCTTCGGATTGAAAAATGTGGGGGCAACATACCAGAGGTTGGTTGATCAGGTCTTCGCCGAACAAAAAGGCCGAAACAGGGAAGTTTATGTTGACGACTCCATCGTCAAGAGCAAAAAAGCAGAAGGCCATGTTGCGGACCTGGACGAAACCTTCGCCACTCTTCGCAAACATCGAATGAAGCTGAATCCGAAGAAGTGTGTCTTTGGCGTGAAGTCAGGCAAGTTCCTCGGCTTCATGGTCAGAAAAATAAGGATTGATGCCAATCCCGCTAAAGTACAAGCAGTTCTTGATCTTCCCAAGCCGAAAACAAAGAGGGATGTTCAACGTCTCACTGGCAGAATGGCTGCACTTTCCAGGTTCATCTCTAAAGCCTCGGACAAGGGATTTCCTTTCTTCAAAGCGCTCAAACTCCTGAAATCAAAAGAGCTCATCTGGGAAGACGAGCAAAAGCAAGCCTTTTAGCAACTCCGTGAGCACCTGGTTCACCTCCCAACACTGGCAAGCCCAGCTGATGGAGAAACTCTGTACTTTTACGTGGCAGTGAGTCCGGCTACTATCAGCGCTGTGTTGCTAAGGGAAAAAGAGAAAATTCAGCAGCCGATCTATTTTGTCAGCCATACTCTGACAGATGCTGAGACACGCTACCCCTTACTCGAAAAGGTTGCTTGTGCAATGGTGGTAGCAGCTCGGAAGTTAAGACCCTACTTTGATTCTTATCAGATAGTGGTCCTAACTGATCAGCCGCTAGAAAAAGTCCTCGGCAAGGTTGAAAAATCTGGTAGACTAACGAAGTAGGCTTTCGAGCTTACCGAGTTCAGTATCAGCTATCAGCCGAGGGCAGCTATCAAGGCTCAGGCCTTAGTAGATGTCTTAGCCGAGTGTTCTTATCAAGAGACACTTGACAAAGAAAAGAAGATCTGGACTGTTTTCACGGATGGATCCTCCACTGTAAATGGTTCGCGGGCAAGGGTAGTCATGACCTCTCCCTAAGGCAAATCCTTTGAGTATGGACTAAAATTCTCATTCAAGGCTTCAAACAACGAAGCTGAAGATGAAGCAGCAATTGCTGGTCTAGAGCTGTGCATAGCATTGGAAGCCGAACATGTCTGTCTGAAGACAGACTCTCAGTTTTTCACTAATCAAATCCGAGGAGATTATGAGGCCAAAGAGCCCTCAATGGTTTCTTACCTCGCAAAGATCAAGACTGTAATTGCGAAGCTTAGAATTTTTGAAGTAGAGCTAATCCCAAGAGGTCAGAATGCTCAAGCCGACGCACTCTCCAAACTTGCATGTTCATCTCTAACCGAGCTGAACCGATCTGTTTATGTGGAGGTGCGCCGAGAAAGAAGTGTTGACCAAGAACCCGAGGTTTGTTGTGTCGCACATGAGCTAAGCTGGATGGATCCCATCGTTGCTTATAAACTTCGGGGAGAACTTCCCGAAAACAGGAAATTAGCCTCTAAGATGAAAAGAATCGGTTCAAGGTTCATCATCTTCAAAGGGGAACTCCTGAAGAAATCATTCTTAGCCCCGCTATTGAAATGCGTGGGTCCAACAGATGCAGATTACATCCTTCGGGAAATTTATTTCGGCATCTGTGGGAACCACGTAAGGGGAAGAACCTTAGACCATAAAGCACTAAGGGCAGGATTCTATTGGCCAACAATGATTCAAGATGCTAAGGAGATGGTTAAAAGGTGTGAAAAATGCAAAAAATTTGCACTAGTCATCCATCAGCCATCCCGAGATCTTCAGCCAATCCTGAATCCACTTCCATTTGCTCAATAGGGATTGGACATTTTGGGACCCTTTCCCGATGCTCCATATCAAAGATAGCTGATAGTCGGCATAGACTATTTTAGCAAATGGATCGAAGCCGAAGCAGCTTCGAATATTACAGAGCAAACAGTTAGAAAGTTCATCTGGCAAAACATTATCACTCGCTTCGGAATTCCGAAGGTTTTTGTCTTTGATCATGGGAGATAATTTGATAACTTGCCGCTAAAGCGGTACACAGATCAGTTCGGCATTAAATTGGCATATTTTGCAGTTTGTCATCCTTAGAGTAATGGTCAAGCCGAGGCTGCAAATAAACAGATCCTTAACGCTCTCAAGAAGAGGGTTGAAGATCAAGTCCAAGTGGATAGAGGAACTCCCGGGAACTCTTTAATTACTTCGGACAACAGAAAAAGAGGCAACGGGGCATTCACCTTTTGAATTGGTGTATGGATCCGAAGCCGTCCTTCCAGTGGAAATTGGCTCAGAAAGTCTTCAAGTAAATCTCTTCTCAGCCGAAGAAAATGAGCAACTCATGAAAGAATCACTTGACTTCGTTGATGAAATCAGAGACTCGGCTCGAGACAAAATGGCTGCATACAAGCAGAGAATCAGCAAATTTTACAATCGAAGAGTCCATGCAAGACTTCTCAAAATTGGGGATCTTGTTCTTCAGAATGCCGCTGCTGTACAAAAAGGCCGCATTCATGGGAAACTCTTAGCTACTTGGGAGGGACCTTATGAAATATATGATGAGCTTCAACCAGAAACATACCGACTTTGGCAGTTGGATGGAACCGAGTTGAAAAACCACTGGAATGCCGATGTACTTAAGAAGTACCATGTGTAAAGCCCTTTAGGGAAGAACGGTCTATGTAAGTACACCTCATTATTAATGCAAGGCCTTAGAGCCACCATTTGTTCCAAATTCAGCAAGTTTCTATATTTTTGTCTTCAAATAGTTTTCGAAAATTCAAGGTTTTCGTTCGGCGTTGTCCAGAGTATTGCATAATGATGCATTGTACTTCGGTAAGTCTTAAAACCTGCCAAGACGAGGATAAAAGATAAAAGCCCGAAGTATTGTGTAATGATGCCTTGTACTACGGATGAATCTGTTCCTCTGGGCAAAGGGGCCAT